TGTGAAGGGGTTTTTATTGTCAGACTGCTTTTAAATTCTGGGGATGGGAAGAAATGTGGGTATGCGGGGCCTGTATAAATTTGTTCAGCACTTTGAGTTACGTTCGTTGTATAATTAAGTGCTATATAAATAAAGTTTGATTTGATGTGATTTGATTTTATTTAGTACAAAAATAGCAAAACAGGACAAATGAAATTTTTGTTAAGTAACAGATGAAATGGAGAGGACGGTATTTCATTATAAAACATAAGAGTCTAACTGAGACGTCTTGCGTGTGTTTTTATTCCAGCGGTGCACGGAGCTCGCCAAGAGGAGGTTATTGATCACCGTCTCACAGATCGAGAGTGGGCAGAAGAATGGAAACATCTTGATAATGTAAGTACGAGCATCGTTAATGCCCAATGACTCTGTTTTATTAACAATAAAGTGGTGGAGGAGAAGAACAAAGTGGTCAGCAGTTTAATAAAGTTAGTTTTACAGTTAAAGATGGCAGGCATGACATCAGCTAGAGCTGTTGACAGGCTGAGTTAGCAGTTGACAGACAGCTGACCGCAGGAGGTCTGTCTCTGTGGTGAATTAACAACTGACAGACACCTATCTGGATTCCTAGCACCCAACTCCACAAAGAAAAAAAAATCAAGTACACCACACACACACACACACACACACACACACACACACACACACACACACACACACACACACAGTGTTAGAGAGAAACAGGGCCCCAGATGGAGCTCAGGACCCTACAGAGAGCAGCTCCAGCTGGGTAGAGCAGCTGAGACGAGAGATGCAGTCGCGGAGAGAACCGGCCAGGCCTGGACCTCAGCCAAATTAGAAACACTTCACTGAAATAAATATAGCCACCTCTAGAGGGGAGGGAGACAGAGGGTGAAAGATGAATGGGAATAATGATATGGATTGAATGTCAGCTATGCTAAAGCCATTTAGCAGACCTCGCCTGTCGGCTCTGAAAAGACGGCGCTGTGGAGAACAAGTGACACGGTTTACAACAGAGAGGGAGAAAGGACGGGGAATCTGTTGAGCTGGCAGGGAATGGAGCGGAGGGGTGGGAGGAATCAGCTCAACCTTTTCATCAACAGCTGTTACATTAGCATTGTTGTTAGACGGTGAAATTCACTGACAGGCAAACAATCATAAAGACAACAACAAACCGTCACCTGCCTGCTGTCTGTCAGCTACTCGGATGGATTGTGTCTGCACTTCCCTTTTTTCCATGTTTTGATCACATGAGTTTTTTTTTCAGGATACTTGATTTAGGAAATAGCAGCTGAGTTTTATAACCTTTTTCTTTCTTTTTGCTTCACAGCTCCTGAACTGCATAATGGACATGGTCGAGAAGACGCGACGTTCCCTGACGGTGCTGCGCCGCTGCCAGGAGGCCGACCGCGAGGAGATGAATCACTGGATCCGCCGCTACAGCGACGTAGAGGAGATGAAAAAAGGTGGGAGCAACGGACAGCACTGCCTTCCTCCTCCTACTACTCTTCCTCCTCCTACTCCTCACCACAACTCCTCCTCCAACACAGCTAGCAGCAGCGAGTCACTGCCCATAGGAACTCCCCCGGCTGCTGAAAGGCAGACAGGCAGACAGACAGGTAGACAAACACACTCAGGGGTTATGCTTGGCAAAGTAAAACACTCACAGCAAGGTAGGGCTCATTAGAAATGCAGAAAATGCCTTAATGTGCCAATTTAGACACAAAAAGTCAGCTAGATGATCCGGTTTGTCTGAGGACTTGAGCTCATACTGTGAAGCAAAGCAAATCCAGCTGCAACATCCTGGATTTTTAACCACCTAATTACACTCTTATGATGACAAGATCCTCATTTGTGATTGAAATTTGAATTCATTTCGAACTGCTGTGAACTCATTACGCCTCTGAATGGGTTAAAGAAGTTGTTGGCAGCTTATCAGCTGGTTTTGCCTGACACCATTTGTATTAGTCCCAGAAATAGAACTGTAAACAAGATCTGGGTGTGTGTGTGTGTGTGTGTGTGTGTGTGTGTGTGTGTGTGTGTGTGTGTGTGTGTGTGTGTGTGTGTGTGTGTGTGTGTGTGTGTGTGTGTGTGTGTGTGTGTGTGTGTGTGTGTGTGTATTTGTTTAGAACTCATTGGGCGTTTGTGTTGTTTCAGAGATCCATAGAGACTTCTTACACCGGCCCCCCTCAGGATACCTGCCTGAAGAGATCTGGAGGAAAGCTGGTAAGCATCCTTTTTCCTTTTGCGTTTGAAATACCGACCTCACACAGACCGCACACAGCAGTACACATCGTCACTCTTCGTGGCCCTCGCCCCTAACAGAGCAGAGCAGAGGCTCTGCAGCTGTAGGTGTGTCGGGCCAGAGGATCGGAGGCCTTCTGCGTCATTAGGGCTAAATGCTGTTCATTTGTCACCGCTATGAAAGGCCACTGCAGTTAAAGCTACGGTGAAAATGCAGTCACCAGGCCAAACGATGGGCCACAGCAGCACAGCGCGGGGTGGAGCTTAACCGGTGTCCCTCTGTCCAAAGAAATGCAAAACATCAAACAATTTCTTATTTGCTGATGTTAGTCAAAATCAGACCCACACCTATGTGGATTTTTGGACATTTTGAAGATGATTTTTGTCTAAATTAAATAAAAAGTAATAAAACAAAATTACTATGATATCCATCGTACATAGCTTCCTGGATGGCCTCTGTTTAGAGAAATAGCTTTTGTGTTTGGGGTGGACTGATGAGTAAAAAGTCTAGATCAAAGTTTCTCCCTGCTCCCATTTCTAAAATTTCATATCTGATGATGCAAATGTTGTGAATTATTAGAAGAAGACATGGGTTCATATTAATGCTAGTAGTAAATAGATATCTCTATCATGTCAGCTGTGAGGCTTAACGAGTTACCCATGACACTTTAAAGTGTTAAGCTGGGCAGACACTGTGCAACTTTTTCACTCGTAGCACTCAGCTTCAGCTCAAACTGTACGACTTCCTCGCAGGGCAGATCTCCAGAGTCGTGTGCTCACACTGTACGACCCAGTTCTCGCATGCGACCTGACTGCTCACACTGTACATCTGCTAGCAACACGTCAGCCCTAAAAATATGCTAAAAATAGCAGTTTTTACACAACACGTCAGACTTTTTTGTCTTGCCTGTTGTCCTTCGGGAGTGCTGCAGGAGGACACACAGGGATTTATGGGGGTTGGATGAGGAAAACGAAATAAAGAAAGTAAATCTGTGTTTTGTGATCAGTCTAATTTGACATGAACACGACAAACACGCTTTCTTGACAATCCTGTTGTGTGTAAAAAAACGTGTAGAAACAAAAACGAACAACGTGTGTTATTAGGGAAATAGTGGGCAAGCGGTGTTGATGCATGATTGCGCATGCGCCGTGAGCGGTTCTGGTACTTTTTGGGTCGCAGCTGCTCACAGCGCCGCTTCAACCCTCACGAGGAACGAGCAAAATATCAAACACTCCAGAAGTCTGTGCGAGCTCACGATTGCTGGTCTCGTGGTGTTAATCGCTTCTCGTAACCCCCGTACACCACACGACGCTCAGCGCAAAAGTCGCCCCGATCTTGTGGATTCTCGCACGAGTGGAAAATCGACTCAAAAAAGTGAAAAAGTCGCACAGTGTCCACCCAGCTTAATAAAACATTAGTTTTGACTGTATTTGAACTATCCATCAGCTCATCAGTTCCTCTAGATGTCAGATAAGATGGCAATTATTTAAAGCTTTTATTCAGAATCACACTTGAAAATGGCTTAAAATCCATTTAGATATACAGATAAATGAACGTCAACTAGCATTCCTCGGCTCTGTAAAGGAAGCAGACGGGAGCGCTGCATCATCGGGGCCTTCCGGTATACCGCATGTTAGACAGAGCCCATCCCAAGAGCTGTCTGGCCCAGCCCCCTTTCAAACTCAGTCCCAGCACTATTATGTTGCACTCATACACCAATACCCTGCGGAGGAAAGATGCTGCTGCTGTCGGCAGAATACTGTGCTGCATTTTCACCAGCAGAAAAGGCTCTTTTAATTGCAGTTGTCTTTCATACAGGTACTACAAGCATCCCGCTCTCCCCAGCACTAAAGCACCTCCAAAACAAGCAGGGTGAGTAACATATCTCTCCCTCAAGAGCTCACCTTTAGTGTCTGTGATCGTATATTGTATATATATATATATATATATATATATATATATATATATATATATATATATATATATACACACGCACACACACACACGTGTACGTGTCACCGTTATCTCAGCAGCCAGGTAGTCTGCCTCTGAAAGCTGCAGCACATCTAGCTTTTAATTAAAACTAGACACGTATTCTCTGGTCTGGTTCGGGTTGAGAACTGAGATCTGAAGTGTGAAGAAAAAAAAAGCAGACAAAAATAACACATCTCATGGACTTACAGAATCTCAGCAGAATTAAAACGTTAATATTGCTGCCCCCGTGTTTTCCATTAAGTGCTAATTGCCCCAGCATCTGCTATGTCGTCTCCTTGATAAGAATTAATTAAATTTGCAAACTAATCTTAGTGGTGCATGCATTAGGCCAGATAATTGAGAAGCTTGGAATAATACATGTAGTGTTTGCAGAGAAGAGAAGAAAGAAGAAGGAGAGGTGTTGGTAGCGGTGTGAAGGAAAAGGAAAAGAGGAGGAGAAATGAAGCGCAAAGGTAGAGACAGGAAGACAGAATGACAGGAAGCCCTGAGAGATGCATTTGCAGGATTTACAGAAGAGCTTTTCTTTAGCATATAAGGATGGAAATCAAGTGTAGACACCAGTTCTTACAGAAAAGGACAGAAGCATGTGTGGAGAAAGCTCTTCTACTCCCCCCGTTTTTGTGGCACATTGGTTTGAAACAACTGAGCGAAGCAGCGAGGGAAAGTGACAGGTATTTATGAGTTTCCTCTCAGACATATATGGGGAGGAGGAAATGGGGAGCAGTGGAGGGAGCAGTATCAGCCTCGCCTCCTACTTGGTTGGTCTAACACACCTGGCAGTCCTCCTGTGTGAGTGTAATTTGTGTCTGCATGTGTGTGTGCCTCTGTTTGCTTCGCACATCTGGAGGAAGAGCAAGCTGCATCATTTATTCGTTAAAAATGTCCCTGTTTTTGTAAAGAAAATGAGGAATTCATATTTGGGGAGCACAACATGCTACAGGAGCATTTGACTAATGAGTCGAGTATATTTGGCAACCCTGCTCACGGGTGAATAAAAACTTTTGAGAAACGATGCGCTAAAGATTGCTTATTCACTTTGTGCCGATAATAAAAAAGAGGGCAAGATGTGTCAAACTGAGATGGGAATTTGTTTTAGTCTGCCTCCTGGGAAGGGGTTTGCACATTTACCTCTTGAAAAACAAAACCCCTTCTTTCATACGTAGATGTTTATGTTAGACAAACACAAAGGCCTCAAGGTGGCGCCTCCACTGGAGGGGGTCCTAGTGTGGAGATGTGAGAGCCGACTGTTGGAAAATAATTCACTCCCTGCAGAAAATTCTCTCAAGCAGTTGTTGTCATATGAAAATGACCATTAAAACAAGGAATCTGAAAGTGTTTGGATGCATCTGTTTGCTGCAACAAATAACGACTGACCACGCAGATGGGACAGGACATCGGCTCTAATGCCCCTCCGTCTTCTTTTCTGTGTTTTCAGAGGAGGCGGTGAACGAGGTGAAGCGCCAGGCCATGTCAGAGCTGCAGAAGGCGGTGTCGGACGCTGAGAGGAAGGCGCATGAGATGATATCCGCAGAACGGTCTAAAATGGAGAGGGCGCTGGCCGAGGCCAAGAGACAAGCTTCGGAGGATGCACTCACGGTCATCAACCAGCAGGAAGACTCCAGTGAAGTGAGTAACACGGAACCACATTTACCACGCTTCCACCTTTGGTTTTAGTGTTGCATACCTCACGCTGTTATCAAACATAAGGTTTTATTTTAACATCTACAGCCTTGAAGCAACAGAAAATGACTTCCTGGTATGTGAGATCTGTTTGGACCAACGGAGTCGAAAACCAGCCTATTCCAAATTTTAGAATTAGTAAAGCTAGATCATTAAATTCAATTCAATTCAATTCAAATTCAATTCAAAAATACTTTATTAATCCCAGAGGGAAATTAGAGTTTCAGTTCACACAATTCTGAGATCAGACATACATACATAGACACATGACAAGAATTAGTGACTGTGGTCATTTGCAACCCGAGTCGCGCTACCGTAATGATAAAGAGGGTTTATATGAGGATAGGTTCAGGGGGAGGGGAAAAAGGCACTTCAGAGTTACCCTCCACAGAGAGGGTAGCTTTGCTATGCAAAAAATAAATAATAATAACCACCTCAGACAGATATACACACAGACTTCAGACATTACACAACATAAGTGTCCGCTAGGTGGGGAGGTAGGGTTGGGACTCTCCTCACTTCAGTGCGTGCAGCCGCATGGAGCAGCGCTCAACACCTCCGTTTGGACAGGGGAGGGAGATAATGGGTTTGACTCCTAGATATGGTTCCACGGCCTTCACCGGTCACAGTCCTGCCCAGGCTGGGACAGGGAGAAAGAGTTTCCATAGCAACGACAGCATTCCACATTTCTTCACTTCAGCCTCACGGGCTCCAAGGACACCAGATTCAGATAAGAACTGTTTTGGGGACAGACAGAGATAATTGTCTCTGCCTTAGAGTTCTGTTGGTCTTCAACCCCTCTAGATCCAATAATGGCGTAATTAATCAATCCCAATCCGTGCTGATTCGTCCACTCGTTCCTTGATGGAATCCACCTTCTGTGCCAGAGCCTGAATCTCAGACAAAGTTCCAAGCTCACGACTCATCTTGACAATTATATGAGTTTGTGCATTCACAGCGCGATGCATTCCATCCCTGAGCTCCGGGATTGAGCCAATATTCCTCGAAAGCTCGTTAATTTTCCAGTAAGCCAGATAACTGATCAGGCCAAACAGCAGGAATCCCGACACCAAAACGACAAATATCCAAACATCTTCAGAATCCTCTACAGACAGTTGAGAGAGGCAGATCAAGTTCCACTGTTTCCAGGAGTCCATGATGTACCCAGCTGGCTCTGTCCCAGAGGGGCATCCAGGAGCCCCTTCTCCCGTTCTCATCGTTGAAAAAATTTTGTCAATCGCGTTGAGAGACCAACTGATCAGATCCATATTTAATAATTTCCAGTTTCCAGAAAAAATGCAGAAAGCGCAGTGCACACAAAGACAGGACAAAGAGCCATGGGATGAGGAGGGAGGGAGAGGAGAAAAAAAGCTTCTGTACTCTCCAAGAGCCGGAAGAAGAAAATCTATACCGTGTGTCCTGTTGAACTTGTTTAGAAGCACAGACCTCAGATCTCTGTGTGAATAAAAGCAGACAGATCCAGATGGCTGGAGCAGAGTTCCAGATTCAGACCATTACAGAGCAGATGACCACCACCTGCTGGTAATACAAATCAGCTGTCTTGGGCCAAAGCTCCCCGTGTCGAGTCTAACAGAAACACATCCTCAGACACACAAACTGGTTTAAAACATGTTTATTTATGACAAGGAGATGTGCTATTTTTATTGACTCACTTCGTCTTTCCTGTCTCACCAGAGCTGCTGGAACTGTGGGAGGAAAGCCAGTGAGACGTGCAGTGGCTGCAACACAGCTCGCTACTGTGGCTCCTTTTGTCAGCACAAAGACTGGGAGAAACACCATCACGTCTGTGGCCAAGGCCTGCAGGAGCTGCCAGGGGGCAGCAGTGTCCCTCTAGGAACCCCCTCTTCTTCCACCAGCTCGTCTGCGTCCTCCGGCGCTCCCCCGACCCACTCAGAGTGCTCTCCTCCAGGACCCCTGTCCCTGGCAGTCCAGAGCAGTATTGTGGGGGGTGCTGGCTGCGGCAGTGGGAGCGTCTCTGCCAGCCCCAAAGAGAGCAGTTCCAGCAGTGCCTCTCGCTCCACGACTCCAGCGACCCCTGCACTACTGGACGCTACTTCTCGCTGACGTCCGGACCTCGTTGCACTTACTGAAATGACAGTGCCCACACTCCACACAAAAACCAAACTGAGGAATCTTCATTGCACACTCCTCCCTTTCCTCTTACTCCAGATTCATTTTCAAAAGTAATCCACCGGTTTCTCTCGCCTCTTCTTGAAGTTCTGCTTCTTTAACCACCGCAGCCACAGACACAAAGATTCCAGTCAGGGTGTATGTAGTGTGAAGCATGCACATTGCAGTGTCCGCTATCTTGTCATAGAAACATATCAAATGTGTTTGCTGAGAACATGAGCTTTGACTTGAAAATGTGCCCTCAGTAATGAATGCACGGTAAATATTGTTAAGGGCTGTGATGAGGCAGCACTGACTAGATAACTCGGCCAATTTACTCCTGGGTAGGATTTCCCTTTGACAAAGCACCAACGGAAGAACGATAACCAGCCCTGAGATGTGCACTAACAGTCCAGACAGATCACTGATGTGGCACTTCTATGCTTTCCCAACAGAGGCAGGCAGAAGGCATGACCTTTTGATCTTTCCTTACAATGTACGAGGGAAGGGGTGCAACCTGCGATGCGATTAATTCCTCAGAAACACAACTTAGTATTTATTAAAGGTTTCTTTCTGGCTTTAAGGGAAAATAAGTCCAAATATTCTAAATAAAGAATAATAGCGATGCTGATGACACAAAAATAAATGAATTTTAAACTGCTGACTACCTTGCTAGCGAGCCAAGAAAATCTACACCGGACTCACCTCTCTGCACCGTAACGAACCCAAATAAATTCAAAGATGAAAAAAGTAACACGATCCAAACCTTTGTATGACACTGCCAAAGTGAAAACGTGAGCGATAAAGAGAAGCACTCATAACCAAACGTAAAGCAACAACACCTCCTCAGCAGAAAAGCCAGCCCCGAGAGGATCGGGCTGCCTCCTGCGGTCTGGACAGAAACTACAGCAAATCCTCGTGGCCCAGACTAGTGAGCATGGACGATGCTGTGAACTTGCCTACGTAGAAAGACTTTGGGATGGAAAACCCTGCCACAGTGTGGTTCTTCTGTGAATGGAAGAGAGGACACAACAAGGACAAAGGAAAGCTACACAGCCTCAAAGCAGACGAAGAAACGTTTAAGGCAACGGAACCGCCAAAAAACCTCAACACAAGCTTGAAAACGTTGTTGGAGAAGGCGTATGAAAAGATTGTTTGTAAGATGTTTTTTAAGCTAAAAACGAGGAGATATTTCAAGGATTTGCTCTTACATTTACATTCACTCCCTCCTTTTTCCAAAGCATGACTAACAGTTGAAAGAGCCTAGCAAAAGGGGAGGTGAAAAGTATTTTCTCCTCCCTTTCTACCTCCCCTCATCCCACTCCTCCCCTCTGAGCTCTTCCCCAGCCTCGTGACTCACGTCCACCCTGAACCCGCGCTTGCTTTGGACAGAGCCACAAAGCAGGTCCTGTTGGGCGGAGGGCTGAACCTGCTTGTAGATATTGTTCCTCTTTTCCTTTTTTCATTAACGTCTCTCATTGCTGATGCCACACGTGCTGCCCTTGTGTATATCCAAAAAAAGGACTTTGTTTACCTTTTGTTTTCATCCTGGCTTGGGCTGAGCAGCAAAAACAGAGCGAGGATGCTTGTTTAGGAAAGGAAGTCCCACATTGTACTTATTGTTTGAATTGTATCTATATTACTGAGATGAAACCCCTCTTGTAGAATATTTTGTATTGCTCGCATTGTAAGACAGTGAGAGGACGGAGGTGCAATATGAAGAGAATTCAGCTACTGAATGGAACCTCAGCAACTGCCCATAGGGTGTCATATAATATAGATACATATAGATATATTTAAAGTAACATCAGTAACTTAATGTGAATGTACATAGTATTTAAAAAGGTCCAAAAATGTGTTTGCCAAATAACAAAAACCTTTAAAGTTCGGATTATGACTTTCTCACAGTGCGTTTGTTTCTAAAAACTTTTGTCACTCATACAAGTTTAACGCTTTTTTTAAAAATTTCAAATCAAAGGATAACGTAATCCAGCCGTTAATCCAGCCCGCAGACGAGGACTAAACATCGTGTATTAGTCTGCTTCTGATAGAAAGGCTAGTTGGTAGTAAAAGAGGGTTAAAGGTCCTGGATCGTGTCAAATTTTTAGGAATCATCCAGTTTCGTCTGTTTTCTAACCTTCTTTTCCAGCCCAAGTTCCACTGTAGTAGCTCTCTTGGTCCTCATCAGTCTAACCATGTGTGATTGACATTTACCCCCCGTTGTGCAGGACAAGCCTAGCCTAGTGAACTAGACCAAATTCTTGCTTTGCAATTTAGTCTGGCTTGCCAGGCTAGGACAAGCCATTAATGGAGGGTAAAGTAAAAAGCCAGTGTTAAGCTCATTTTAACCCTTTGATGCATAATGGTCACTACAGTGGACAGGTATTCAAAATTGTTATTTCTTTATTTTTGCTATTAAGCACAGCTGTTGAAGACTTTATTGCATTTGAGCACCTCCATTTGGAATTCAGTAAGTCAAGCCAACATATTTCATGTTCAGAATGCACGCTGTCCACTGAGATGGACATGTAATAAATTATTTGTAAATTAACAAAATGTTACAAAAATATTTGTTGAAATTTGTTTCATTCACACCTAAAGATGAATGAAAAAAATTGTTTAAAAAATCCTGGTTGAAGATTTCATAATTCATGCATCAGAGGATTAAAAGACATTTTAATATTCTAAAGATGTAATTTGATCACAGGCTGCAGATTTACAGATTTCCATGCCAAGAGGGCAGCATCACCTCTTTCAGTCTCTTAATTTTCCCTGCCTGTCTCATAAACTCCACTAACAACCTAGGGTAATAGCTTTTCTATCGATTCTTTCAACCCGACATGGTTGGCCTCATTTACACTTGGACCAAACGTGAGAGGAAAAGAACTGCTCTTTGCTTTTTAATCAGAAACAGATCAATTTTTTGGACTGACTGAGACCTGAAATTCAAAGGAGATAAGCTGCAAGGTGCTTCTATACGTCTGTGTGTAGCGTGTTTGTGTGTGTATGTGTGTGTGTGTGTGTGTTATGATTACCGTGTTATAGTGTTGACCTCGGTCTTTCTGAGCTTCTTCTCCCCCTGATGTCTAAATTGTCCTCACTCCTACCACAGAACACTCCTCACCCCACCCCTCCTTCTCCTCCATGACATGAGCTACCTCCTGTGAGCATACAGCTAACCACCAGGAGAGGCTGACCTGGACTTTAAAAAGCTGGGCTGAAAGCAGACGCGGACACACACTCATAAGTGATCGTATGAGTACACGCTGAATGGAACTGCCATTACTCAGGATGTGGGTAAGGGTTAGGGTTTGGGTAGGGTACAGAATCCATTAGACAAAAACACCAAACGTTGCTTGGATTTAGACACGTGTGCACATATTACCAGACTGAACCAACCATGACGTGCTGGTCGTTGTCTTACACGTTTGAAAGCACAGACCAAAGTTCTCCGAATTTGCCGCTGTAGGCTGTAACATTCTGTAAGAAACCAATACTCCAGTCTACCAAAGTATCTGATAATACACACTCAGAGTTCAGGAGGGAACAGCCTGCACGACAAACCGGTTGAGTTTCAGAAGTGTGTGATTCTTTCTCAAGTAATCAAAGCGCTCATTGACTACACAGTAGCGCAGCTCTTTAAACAACAGAAGCATTTCCTTAAAAAAGCCTGCAAACTGTATGTTCTTATAGTAACAAAGCCTTGCAGAGATAAAGTGAATGCGTGTGTGCGTGTGTCTGTGTGTGTGTTTTATTTAAGTGGGAATTTTTTTTCTTCATGCCTCTGCACAAACTACTTGAAATCTTCAGAGCTTTAATGAAACATCATAGGCAAACAATAGCAGCACATTGATTGAAAAGAAATAAAGCAGAGATTTGTAGCTTGGTTTTGATAGCTTGACATTGTGATGGCAGTTTCAGTCCAAGATGGGTGTTTTGTGTGTACCGTCTTGTCTGTGAGTAAGCCCGCAAACTAAACTAAACAAAACCAAACCCAGTAGATCATTTAAATTTTACCAAAATCCAACCAAAAGCTGCAACTTTCTTTGATGGGCTTCACTTTTTGTTACTGGTTTTGTGTTTTTTTTTTCTTTTTTGTCCATGTTGTAGAAAAATTCTACATGGTTGTGAGGCTGAAATCTTAAAAATCCAAGCTGTGGAGGAAAGAGCAAACTTTGCTTCTCTGAGGTGAAACTTTTGTAGGGCAGGATTCAAAAGATCAGACATTACCTGATAATGAATAGTGCTGTGGTGTCATTATCACACTTTCCTGTTAAGATATTATAGATGGCAAATGATCGGGGCTCCGCTGTTGTGATTACCATCTGAGGGTCTCCTAAATGTTCACAAGAGGAACACCTTTTATTTGTTTACCTGTGCAATGGATACAAAATAACACATGTTTAGAGAGGTCAGTTATGAGCAGGGTGGCACTGGCCTCCGTCTGTCCCAACCTGTAGCTCTACTGGTGAAGTTTCAAAGCTCGTCCGATGTGATGGTGACACGTCCTTCCTGTGAAACAGGCTCTGATGACTCTAGAAAGCTAGAGTGGAAAACAATGAGTACAGCACTTGTTTTCCAAAACGCCACGGCTCAGGATGGTCTTGTTTTAACCTTTACATAAACTGAAAAAGGGGTTTATGGTTTTATATGTGTAGGGGAGCATTCTATACTGTATTGTGCAATACATGATTACAGAAAAAGTAATCATGTTTCTGTGGGAAAGGTTGATGCTTTCAAAATCTTCCTTGCCCTATTTCTTTTCTCTCGTCCCGTTGCCATTTTTAGATGAAGTAAACTGTGCCAGAGGAATTGAATTCTCATTTGTATTTATTTCTTGCATGCTTTCCTCCCTGTTGCTATACCGCTTTTTAACTGTTCGCTCTGTTGGATGTGTGAAGCTGTAAAACATTCTAATTCAGGTTATTGTCTGTGTTGAACAATGTAACTGTGTAATTAAAAACATGAAATGACGTATTCATCATTTTCATTATCCCCCCCCCCCCCCCCCCCCCCCCCCCAAATTACTATTCTAAAAATAACTTCCATTGTTATGCTGCTCAGACATTATATAGTCTCTGGTGTCAACACTTTGTGTGATACTAAAATGCACGCAAATATAAAATATAATGTTTACAAAAACCATGTCAGAAGCAACAAAAAAGAACTCGGTATTAAAGTAACAGTGAGCAGTTTCCTGCTACTCCGCTCTACTGCTTGTAAGTGGAATAAGAACTATCATGAACAACCCAGCTGTAGCTAGCGCTAACACAACAAGCTAACACTAAGGGCCATGATATAGCCTACTTGCTGTTTGACCTGGCGTTGGCGTGAGCAACAGGCTGCGTCTTTGTTCACATACTTGTTGTTACACGGCACTGCCCTGCTTGTAGTACTGGAGTGTTTCACAAGGGGCACACTATAGAACTCAATTCAATTCAATTCAATTCAATTCAAGTTTATTTATATAGCGCCAAATCACGACAAGAGTCTTCTCAAGGCACTTCACATAATAAACATTCCAATTCAGGTCAGTTCATTAAGCCAATCAGAAATAATGTTTCCTATATAAGGAACCCAGCAAATTGCATCAAGTCACTGACGAGTGTCAGTGACTATACAGCAATCCTCATACTAAGCAAGCATGCAGCGACAGTGGAGAGGAAAACTCCCTTTTAACAGGAAGAAACCTCCAGAGAATCCTGGCTCAGTATAAGCAGCCGTCCTCCACGACTCACTGGGGATCGAGAAGACAGAGCACACACACACACACACACACACACACACACACACACACACACACACACACACACACACACACACACACACGCACACGCACACGCACACGCACACACACACACACACAATAATGTGTCTATAGTTCTATTGTGATGTCTTAGTAAATATTCTGTTTGGTGAGATCAACTTTATTGTATTTATCCTAGTGGATCTCTAATTAAATGGGTAAACTAGCAGTAACACGTCCAACGTCAAGGAAAGCAAAAAGTTATTATCAGGGGAGGGAGAATGTTTAAGTGGTTAGCAGCAGTGTGCTAGATGATGGCCCCCTCCATGAGGCCACCACAGCTCAGCAGAACATCGTTGTAGCTTCTTCTGGGGAGAAAAACACTTAGAGAGAAAATAAAGTTAACAGCTGAAATTGCAGAAAGTAATGCAGTTAAAGAGCAGATAGTAGAAGAAAGCAAAGTGTGGAAAGTGGTCAGTGTATCCTCCAGCAGTCTAAGCCTATAGCAGCATAACAACAGAGATAACTCTGGATAATCTATCCTATTTAGATGGAGGCAATAGAACTCAGACCAGATAGTTTGTGGGAACTACCAAAACAAACACAGGGTCGATAAAAGAGCTCACTAACTGGTTAATTTTGATATCACAACAGAAAAAAATACAGCAGCGGTATCATAGATGGTGTGAAAGACCGTTAAACCAGAGACGGAGTCACTGTGGTTAGTGTGTCTCACTCATTTTGGCAACTACCCCTACTGGTTACTTGTATATTTCAGCGTTTGAAAGCATCACATTATTTTGGGGGGTGCGCACAAACTACACTTCAAATCAATGCAAGTTACGCGTGGCAGCCATTTTAAACACGCATTTGCTTTGTTAAACATCAAGTATATCACAGCCCCAACATGCTCTAACTAATACTAAAATAAACCACAAAGTAAAAAGGATCCACACTGTTGTACAAAAATATTATTACGTAACAACAAAGCCAGGTCACCATCAATCCATGATTTTATAGCCTAATTCAGCTTCCTCAAACTAGTGTAGGCCCCTCCAAAGACATTACTCTCTTACTTTTACTTCCAGGCTCTCCATGATGTCAACAGAAAAAAACAGACTTATTATTTTCTTCTTCTTTTGTTTTTATTTGACAATCTGCAAATAGAAAATACTAACCGCTAGCATTGCAGCTAACAATCATAAAGCAGGTAAAGAATGCCCCCTACAAGACTTACAAAACTATCAGTTGTGGTTTTTGGTCAGCAGAGGGCTGCAGAATGGTGTCAAATATGGAACTGGTCAAGTTTCTAACCCAACAATCACTAAAGCCTGGGACACACCGAGGCGGAATCGCCACGTTGCATCGTGCCGCAATTTGAGAGGACAAGTGGTCACAAAGGACGCGCCGCCCCGCTCCTTAAAGCTGCGCAATAGTCACAACATCACACGGGACTTGAGAACAGAAAGCAGGAAGTGACTCTATTGTTTATACGAGATCAGACTTGCCGTCATGTTTTGTGAGACTCAAATTTATTAAAAATGGGTAAGTAAGAAATTTATTTGAAGGTTTTAAGATCATTAGTACTTTAAAGTTATCAAAACTGCGGTTGAGTTTGTGCTGTAAAGCCGTTCCGCATTGTAATGTCAGTTGTGAAGTACTCTACAATGTCGTAAACAGCAGCGGCGCCCATCTTCGGTGCCCAGCCGCGGTGCGGCGATTCTGGGACACGACACAGCGCTCCCAGTGTGCCCACTCTCATTAACTATACTGGCTGATATTTAAAATGACGGTGCGGGCATGGCGATGGCGTGATGCGGCTCGTTCGCCTCCGGTGTGCCCCAGGCAGATAAACATTAAAGCTGTTGCTTAAAGTTAAAAAAAAAACTATCTGTTGTTACTTTAAGCTAAATAAATTTAGATGATTCTCTATATGATCACTCTCTCTGTCCTTTTTCACATTATTAATACCTTAAATTGTACAAATTTGCAAATGTCCTTCATAAGACACCAAAGATTTCTAAATCAACAAACCTGTCATGTAAAAATATAACCAGACAAGTTTGTTTTATTGCCACTGATGAAGTTTATGATTACAAGTTTTGCTTTGTAGGATATTTGTGCCTGAAAACTTTTCAGTTACTTTTTTAACTTTTTACTATTATGAATAACATATTAATGCTAGTTTATTATTGGTTCAATTTCTTATTTTTTATTTGAATCATAATTTCAAACCCAGTACCAAATCCTCAGACACTGAATTTAAAATAATACATGACTACAATACATTTAAGTGAAGGATGCTGTTTTTAATTTAATTTTTTTATGTTTTTGAGACCTTTAAACAAAACAATCTTCTTCTTTTTTTAGCAAACTTACATATAAAATGATTTTATTAGGTAAGGAATTGGGACTCCAACAGTTAGTTAGCAGATCACACAGAGACACACACAAAAAGACCGTTTGCCCACTTTCTTGGATTTGAAGTTTTAAATTTAACAAACGCATCCGCCCACTAAATAAGTGAAACAAGGATTATTTGCAATGACTAGTTTAATGAGAGGTCAGTTATCATTGTAATTATTCCTGTTTAGTCCAAACAATTTGAATTATTCTGATTTCCTCCCAGATCCAACAAAATGTTTTTTTCAGAATCAGAAGGGTTTTATTGTCGTGTGATAAGAGATAAGCAAATATAGTAAGTACGAATATAATCATGATAAAATAATAATAAAAAGGGGCAATAATTAGAGAAGTGGCTACTATATACAAGGTGTAGGTACTGATCAGAGCAGAATGGTTCAGGTACAAACACAGCACAGGGTCATGTAACTGAAACCAAGCGACTGGAGTGGGCAGTCCTAGGATTGTCATTGATGAGATCAACGGGGAAGAAACTGTTCTTGTGGCGAGAGGTTCTGGTTCGAATGGATCGGAATCTCATGCCAGATGGGAGTGAGTCAAAAAGACTGTGCCCTGGGTGACACGTGTCAGCTGCTATCCGACCTGCACGCCTCAATGTCCTGGAGGTGTCCTGTATGGAGCGGAGTTTGCAGTCAATAGGCATGTTTCCATTACCAGAACTCCAGGTAGTTCCTGGGATGGGGAATTTGATCAGGAGATGGGATGTCCCAGTGCTCTCAGCTGTTGTGTCTCCATTCAAATTCAGCCCTTTCAGAACTTGAACAGATGTCAGCGTATCACGACTGCTTTGGCAGTGAGTGATGTCACTGATCATCCCCAAAAAGCGTCCAAATAATATTAAAAGCATTTAATTTGTGAAAGTATAACATAATTTAATCCATTCAGCATAGGCGTCATTTTAACCGGGGACGCCGGGGACATGTCCCCGGAAAAATTTGTGATTGGCAGCTGTGTCAACCCGGTCTCACAGTAAGACCGGGTTGGACCTGTTCAGGTTTACGCAGACAATCCTTACATTTAGAATTAGCATACAGATGTAAAATTAATGCAGTAAAATATAAAGCTTTTTATTTAAATATCCATTCATTATTTTACAAGCACAGAGAGCCGCATCAGATGGATGGAAGAGCCGCATGCGGCTACAGAGCCGCAGACCCCTGTGCTAGCCTACTTTATTGTCCCCAGCAATTTTTAAACCCCACTCAAGTGTATGGTTATTGTCCCCAGCAATTCTGAAAACAAACTGACGCCCTTGCCATTCAGAGGACAAGAGCAGCTCTGAGTTTTGTGAGACAAGCCTGTTAATTAAGTCTGGGGGGGAATTTCCCTGTTTTTTCCAACAGCTGTGGGGGAATTCCATCGAGTTTTCCAGAGTTAGGTTTTAAATGCAATCAGTGCTGATATTTTTTTGCTTCTGTTCTGCTTCACCAGCTACTGTTCTGATTTTACTGCTGCTGGTTGTTTTGGACATCTTCTGATGTCATTTCCTACTGAGTTACAACCAATTAATCAGCGTGAGTTAACCGGAGGTTCTGCTCAGCTACTCCACTGGGCCGTTCGGAGTACCTACTCCAGAGCAGGTACTCAGAAGGTTCCTGAAAACGGCTCGAAAAACGGCCGTTAGGACGGCCCGGTAAGGTGGGGACAAGCGCATGTTGGGAGGTTCCCGTAAATCTACGCTGAAGTTCTTGTTGTGGAAACATGCCTAATGACCTTCTCAGCAGAGCATACAACACGCTGCAGCTTTTCTTATCCCTGGTGGTAGTTCCAGCATAACACTAGATAATGTTAGTGGCCTAGCGTTAGAGTGTCCACCCTGGGACTGGGAAATCGGGGTTCAAATCCTTGTTGGGTTATACCAACTACCCCTGCTGGACACTCGGACACTCAGCTTTAAGGGGTTGGACTTGGGGCAGTTAAACTACCAAATAATTCCTGAACACAGCTTACCAACTTAAACTGTTTTCCTTCTCTATGCACCCTGAAAGTAAGCTCCCTAAAGTATTTTCAAATTGGAAACACGATTTTCTGATTGGTTTGTGCTATATTGATAGCTGTTATTTGGCAGTCTGCATTTTACCATGAGTATTTCAACGTGTTGCTCAGTCAGTGCCCACTCTTTATGTCTGAAAGCTCTCAGATAAACCAATCTGAACCAGCTTTTGTGGATCTAATCATGAACAGGTCCCCCGTCTCACAGCTTCTAGATGCGGCCCTAAAGCGCGGTGGTCTACGTACGCTTCGTCAATAAGTCCAGCGCGTCATGACGTAACACACACAGGTGATATCTATTAGCCTAGCTCACATGCTATCAGTTGCTGCGTTTGCCCAACATTAAACCATCATTTCCTTCGGGTGAAAGGTATTGTCTGTAGCTGTTTTGGGAAAGGCGCTGTCAGTTTCTCAGATATTATGTCAAAGCAGTGAGCAGCATGGCGGAAAATCATCTGGACTACCGCTATCTTGACGGCGAGCTCATGGGGGAGCATTTTGCCGAGGACCCGGTGAGTTATCGTTCCTTTTGTGTTGAATATAATTGGTGCTGTCGTGTTTATATCGGTTTGTAAAGCTCGCGGGGCTACATCAGCTAGCCTCATCCTGCTGCTGAAAACGATGCGGAGTGACTCGTGGAGCTAAATGATGGTCACTGACCGTTAGCGTTAGCATACTATGCTAGCTGTGTTCCATTCATCAACATAAAAGCTATTTTCTTATGTATACATTTGCTTTGAACACTTTGCTTGTGTCCTTTAAACGCACTTTAACATCGAAAGATGTAGCTTCTAATGACTAAGTAAATGTAACATTCATCAGATTTAGATTAACTCAAATTATGAACCTAAACATTTAGCTTCACGAGCCAGTTTGCTTGTAGATTTAAGAAGAAAAGATCTCTCAAGATAAAAATCACGAGGCGCTTTAACATCTGCTTTAACCCTCTGGGGTCCAGGGTGTAATTTGCCGTTTTTGACTAATTTAGAGTTTTCCTTTGTATTTCCAAAATAAAAACCATAACCACTGCCTTATGTGGTATCAATCTTTTCAGCACAACCTGGACTTTATGAATTTATACTTATTGTTTTATGTTTGGACATACAGGGGTTGCATATTAGACCTTAAATCACTCAAAAACATAAATTCCGAATGGGAAAAAAAGTTGTTTATTTTACTGTGAAACCAACAAACAGTTATGACGAATGTTTTTTTTTTTTTTATAATTTAGAATGGTAATCTAGACTGTACATTTATAAAAAAATATGAATAAATAGCAAATAATTAAAAAAAAAATATTAGCCCTCTGGGGTCCAGGGTGTAAATCACCTTTTTTGACTCATTTTGGTTTTTCTTTTGTATTTTCTAATAAAAACAATACATATTGCCTTATGGGGTATCATTTTTTTCAGGATAACCTGGACTATCTGAATGTCTACTTATTTTATTAATTTGCAAATAATGTACATGCATTTTGGAGTGGGGAGTGGCTCTGTCTCACGCCGAGATCTGACAGCTGCGCGGCGCCGCCCACTCCTCTTGTTGGATCTCTGAGGAGCTGGATCTCTGCCTTCATCCTCTGCCTCATCATGACCCAACTCTTCTATGAGGAAGGATGGATCTGCAGCATCCTCATCAACATCCTCGCTATTTGCCTCAGACTCCGGCTGTGAGTCTCCGTCCACTTCCTCTGCTTCCAGTTCAAAAAACAGCCATACTATCTGAACTGCCTGGTGGACATTTATCCTTCTCATCATAAGTTATAGAAGCCTAATAAAAGCCTACTAAACTGCAGAGACTTATGTATCTGTCCAGATCGCTCCAAAATATGAATTTTACCGTCAATATCTGTCTAATTGTTTGTTGTTACTCGTTTGCGCCACTCCTTTCCCCGCGAAGCGGCTCCTTTTTGCGCACATCTCGTTACTCGTGCGGCCTTCCTCTCTCTCTCAGCTACATAATGATACTTTTTATCGATTGAATATGTGAGACTTCCACCAACAGCAAAAGGAGCTCATGTTTTTGTGGGTTTTTTATGTTCACAAGCATATTCCCTCTCATGGATTACTAAACTGCTGTTTTGACAAGTTATCAGATTGTCTAAAAATAGGTCGTTTTTTAGTTTAGTATAACTCCGCTTTTACGTTGCCTATTAACAAAATGTAAAAACTGGGGTGTAGTTTATAATCTCCTTTTTAAAGCTGAATTGAAACGGAAACTCAGGGAGGCGGAGTCTTGCTGCTACAACGTCCCAAATCAGACCTGTTAAAAAGACACGTATACGCGTCCATGGACCCCAGAGGGTTAAAGCTACGTCTACCCCTCACACGCTGAGAGGTAGAGGTGCAGGTTTGCACGTGAAGTCACGTCATTCATCTTTGTGCAGTTTTGTAAAACTGAAGTTAAAATGTTTCTTTCTTTTTTTTTTTTTTTTGCTTCAGGAGCTGTTGGCCATCAAGGCCAGGGTGCAGGAGCTGGAAATGGAAGACTATGAGAAACTAAAGGAAGAGGACAAATGTGATGTAGAGGAGATGCAGCACCAGACCAGTAACTCTTGGCCTGGTGAGACAACAAGGGGTGTCTGAGTGGGTTGTTTTTATTTTAGCCAGGTGTGTAGCTTTGTAGCCTCAAGTCAAGTGAGGTAACCACATTTTTCACCATCTGTCCCAACACCTGGGTCACGCCGCAGTGTTCACTTGTGCCTCATCACTGCCCAATGACCTGAAGCAATGAGCCACAGAGAACCAGAAGTGTCTTTCTTACTGCTTGTGGCTATTTTCTGCCTCTGTGGATCTCTTCATCCCTTCCTCCTTGATCCGTCATAGAAAAAATGTGGCTAGAGGAGCCAGATTCATATTTCACAGCATAGCCCACAAGTCCATTTCCACATGTTTTCTTTGATTACATCTGTGGCAAATTTATACTTGTCTGTGGTTTGATCCTTTAGTTCAGCGGTAGGTAACCCTGGTCCTAGAGAGCCATGCATGAACTTGCAGCTTCTTATGGGCTAAACACATGATCCTGGTGATCAACCGCAGGAACAACAAAGATAGTTGGCAAACAAGCAGGACTGTGGCTCTCTTGCACCAGGGTTGCCTACCCCTGCTTAAGGTTCTTCAGATCTTAACTGCCGCTTCTGCAAACTAGGAAAATGTTTTAATATTGAATATCCACAATCTGTTTTTTGTCTGCACCACAGGACCTTTCTACAATATGACTCCAGAGGAGAGGATAGATGCAGACAACAGATCGATCTATGTTGGAAATGTATGGCTTGTGTATTAATTTCAGCACACATGCGATTAATTTTCACAGTTCTGTTCTGACCTGCTGAATAAATCTCAGGTAGATTATGGAGCTACTGCTGATGAGCTGGAGATCCATTTCAATGGCTGTGGTCCTGTGAACAGAGTTACCATCCTGTGTGACCGGTTCTCTGGTCATCCCAAGGGGTTGGTATATTTTAAGCTTTTTATTTATTTTTTTACTTGTTTAATTGTGTACGTTTACTAAAAACCTTATGCGATTGTGTACCTTTTATTCTCAGCTTTGCCTACATTGAATTCTCTGATCGAGACTCTGTGCAGAGTGCTATTGGTTTGCATGAGACTGTATTTAGAGGAAGAGTTCTCAAGGTAAAGTCTGCCAACTTGTTTTTAAAAGAATGCCCACATTGGTTTTTATACTCTAGTGTAACAGAAATGTGTTAGTTTTGTGCAGCATCACATTAAGCAGATTTTGCATTTGGTGCATCCACTTTTTACGGGCTGGGCTTATGAGGCCATTATCTCTTCAAAGATAGTTTTGGTAAGATAATGCTCACAATCGTCTACGTACACAAAATAATTAGCTTTTCTGTGTACCTGATGTGGTTAACTCCTGTCAGTCTACATAAAGGTCTAATAGGTGTATTGTTTCACTGATGAGTTATACAAACTCCATAAAACGACTTGATATGATAGGTTTGTTTAAGGCTCATTTGATCATGATGTACATCCCATATCCTCTTTTTGGTCGCGTTTCTTGATTTTTTAACATGTTTTAGGTTTAGGGGAGAGTTTGTTCATTTGTACGTAGAATACTGCTGATGTGTCTGAAAATAATCTAAAGTCTGACATGAGTTTCTTTCAAGAGACAAAATGATCAAATGAAAGTTTTTTGTATCGGCTTAAAACGTCAAGATCAGCAGATGGAGACTTTCTGAGAGCATCTAAAAAGCTGATTCACCAGAACTCTGTTCTTAATGATCTAGATGGCGTCTTCTCAGAAGATAGTGGAAAACATTTCTATGTGTTCACTGCTGCCGTGTAAACTTTGTATCATTTGGTTTCAGGTGTTGCCAAAAAGAACCAACATGCCTGGCATCAGCACCACAGATAGGGGAGGACACAGAGGAGGTCAGTCCAGAGGCAGAGGGCGTGGCCACCATCCCCCTAGGTACCAAAACAGTTCACGAGGCCGGTACCGGTACCAGTCAACAAGGCCGCAGCATCAATCCCCCCACCCTTATTACGGTGGACCACCAGCTGGAAAGAGACAGTGGGGACACATGGACTACCATGAACAAACTCCGAAACGTAATCCCTGTCTTCTTCTTATCACACCGCCATCAGAGGACCTGGGCGCAGTCTCAAGTGGACAACACTACCCTCAGCAGCGCTAGCGCCACCTACAGTATCTTTCTGCTGGGTGGGAGGGGTTTTTAAACTGTAAATGCTTTTAGTCATTACTGATTTAAATATTCTGTGATGTATCCAATGACCCACATTCATCCAGGTGAGACATGACAAAAAGCAGACTGGGGTCAACACAGTAGAAGTTAATTGCTGTGAATGCATGGGACACTCACATTGTTATGCTGTTGCATTTGTTTTTATGAAGTGAAGGGGATGTTGTGTTATTTGTAATATATAAACATTCCTTTGTGTAACTTATAAGGTATTTGCTATGTGATTAAATAAAACAATAATTCATCAAGTCCAACAAGATCTGCTTTTAATCATAATTTAGTTTCAGGAATCAAAGCATGTAAACAAGGGTTATGTACAGTGGATCCATAACCAAAGGGGTCAATATGAAGGTACCGTAATCAGCCAGTTTGGACCATCATTCCAGACACAATCCCATTGAAAGCTCTAAATGGGAAAACACAAAAACCGTGAGCTGTTATTAGTGGATGTTTGTCTGCATTCATGGTAAACTTACTTGGATTGTATAGGGTCCCCTGGATTGTAGAATGGATTACACATCACATCAGTGAAAGAGTTGTGCAATTTTCTGAACATCTGGAAGATTAAATACGAGGTAATTTTACTTTAAAAGGGGCCAAACACTTGTTAGTCAATACATTTGCAATGGTCTCTAGAACTGGATGGTGAATCAGGAAGTTAAAGTCAGCTGGAGGAGAAAGGTTAGGTGGATATATTTGCAAAAAAAAAAAAAGGCCCACATGTGAGAGGTTAGTACAAAACATGACAATATTTCAAGAGGCAGCTAAGCGATCCCAGTTTATTTAGAATACTTACACTTCTTATTTCATTATCCCGCAGTGATGTATTTGATGAATCCACAACAATCACAAATTTCACCTTGGAGTTGGTAACATATCCATACCTATCTCTTCAAGTCAAGGTTTATAGACGGAATGGGACCACTTCTAGACCACCGAGTTCTCTTTGGACACCATTCATTTCCCAAGATACACCTAAGTACACTTCTCATATATAGTACAGGCCAAAAGTTTGGACACACCTTCGCATTCAATGTATTTTCATGACCATTTACAAAGAAGCCAACAAGTGCTAAACACCTGTGGGAACTCCTGCTGGAAAACCATTTCAGGTGACTACCTCTTGAAGCTCATCAAGAGTGCAAAGGAGTAATCAGAGCAAAGGGTGGCTATTCTGAAGAAAATAGAATATTAAACATGTTTTCAGGTATTTCACCTTTTTTGGTTAAGAACATAACTCCACATGTGTTCATTCATAGTTTTGATGCCTTCAGTGGGAATCTACCAATAGCCATGATAATAAAGAAAACACATTGAATGAGACAGGTGTGTCCAACCCCTTGGCCTGTTCTGTATATGGTTTTAAATGAGCTAATTTTGCCAATAAAACTATAGGATACACTTTGTAGTCTTCCGTTGGATAGAGCAGTCCCAGGTACAGCTCCCTCTGGTCTCCCAAGGACTTGCCCACTGCTGAGATCTTCTCCTCCACCACATCCAGGGAGGTGTGCACTGTGTAGTGAAACTTCAGCTCATTTTGAGTGGGTACGCTACGAATAAAAAGTGGGTAGTTCTGAGAGAAAACACAAATAAAAAAGTCACAAATTAAGAGAACAATTCAAATATAATTCTGTTAAATCTGTAGATAAATATATAAAATGAGACACTAGGTAAGCTAGGCTAGCAGGAGCTAATGTTTGCGTTTGTACACGCTAAATATTTGCTGTCAGCGACAAAAATATGTCAATTAACTAAAATCGACTACAGATACAAGAAAAGACAGTTTACTAATTAAAATATATCAGAAGAATAAACGCTATTAAACAGGAACTATCTCTACCTCTTTAGCGATCACTGCTATGCACACCGCCATGATGGTATTTCCGAGGTGTCAGCTGATGTCACGTGACATGTTGCGTTCAATAACCTATGGAAAAATGTTCATCTACAGAAACTGATTCAAATATTGCATTTGAAACATTCGGCTGTTTTAGGTTTCTACTTATAAAGGTTTAAATGTAATTCACACTCAAACACGTATCGCATTATGCATTATAAGACTGAATCTGAGTGTTATTTTTTCTGTATGATTTTTATTTTTATTGTAAGATTAAAAAACGTATCAGCGGTTGATGACCGCAGCAAAGAACAAATAGCTTGTCATATTCCCAAACCCGGACAACAGAACAATGTTCATTTAAAATAACCATAAATTAAAATATATGGATATAAAGATAAGAAAATATAAGATATGAAGTATATGTAAAATCCTGCTTTCCGAAACGACCATGAAAGCAGACTATATGCTCTTCCTTCCTGCATGCTGGTCCTCATATGACCAGAGCCCCATTCGCAGCGGAAGGGATGGCTGCGGCAACTTTGATAGTATTGAGTTTATTATTATGGCATTCCAAGACAGAAAGAACATCACATGGTTCCACTCCGAACATTATCATCATGCTCATGGATGACGTGAGTTTTTGTTGTTGTTTACAAATACTCATTTATTCCTAAATCAAGAAGCAACAGCTGTTTTATACGGTTCCATCCATTTAAAAAAATCTATTGACCTAAACAACTCCCCATGACTATGTTGAGTGTTTTCCCAATTTAACTCCAGGTAAACGTGATAGATGACTGGCTTCCTTTGCTTTTTCAGATGGGGTGGGGGGACCTTGGAGTGTTGGGGCAGCCCTCCAAAGAGACCCCCAATTTGGATGCTATGGCAGCTCAGGGAATGCTCTTCACCAACTTCTACACGGCAAACCCACTTTGCTCACCATGTGAGTCAGCATCGGGTTTTCAAACACATAATCTGAGCTGTTTCTCAGCCTGTGTGTGTTCTCTTTTGTGTTTGAAGCAACACACCCGCAGCAGATTTTGTAGCAAAACGGCAACACAGGGAAAACTTGGAAAATAGCTTAACTTTAGTGAGGAAAATTGAGCTGAAATAAAAAAAAGATAAAACTATAGAAGAAGAAGAAAATATCATTTCTATAGCGCCTCTCAAGATAAAAATCACGAGGCGCTCAGGGATATGGGATATGTATAAGGATATGTATAAGGAAGAAAACCATTAATAGTGAAAACTTTCAAGCCTCAGTTTGTTCATTTAAAAGCACATCAGAGTCAATATAACAGAGCTGGAATGTCAGAATTGTTTAATAGCAGTTTTCATTTCCTGAACAAATCCTTAAAATTCCCACTCTTATTTTTTCAAAATTTTACAAGGTATCATGTGACCATACTGAGGCAGATCTAAAATGGTAACAAACCTGTTCAGCACAGCTGTAGTTGTCTTGCATGAACCATTATATGTAGAGAATGTGGTTTGTTTTAATCAAATGAAAAATCCAGAAAACACTCTCATGCCTTTTATGTTTGCCCTTCTCTTTACACACAAGTAACCACTGCTGACATGAAATGTGCTCTAATCATCTCAGCATCGTGTTCCTGTAGTTTATTTTTAAAAAGTTAGCCAATAATATAGTTTTCTTGAGAGTTGCAACTTGCTGCGTTAACATCTACATAGACAGAGGAGCATAAAGAAAAAAGTGTGACATAAAAAAATCTCATCCTTTATTTTTCCCACAGCCAGAGCAGCACTTCTCACTGGAAGACTTCCTGTCAGAAATGGTTTCTACACAACTAATGCCCACGCCCGGAATGGTATATTTTCTCATTTCTGCACTGACATTTCACCCACGTATCACTTTTTGCACATTTCTTATGCATTTTCGTGTGTCAAATCAACTCATGGGATATTTTGTTGATTAAATATTCGTCTTATCGTTTTCCTTTTTTGCAGCATATACACCACAGGAGATAGTAGGAGGAATCTCCAAGGATGAGATTCTGTTGCCTCAGCTGCTGAAGAAACAAGGTTATGTGAGCAAGATAGTTGGCAAGTGGTGAGCTATTTTTCTGTAGCCTATATGATCAGTTCATGAAGGATTATTCAGAATTATTTAATAAAATTAAAGAACAAGCATACAGATGTTTAAAAAGATAATAAATCTTTTACTATTTTTTGTATTTGGGTTTAAAAATAATTCCATATATTGCATATTAGAGGTAGCCGATACTGAAATAACCAAGATCCTTTTGCCCAGTGCCAGAACATACCTTGTTTAAAAAAATGAAAATACATGTGTAGGTTGGCAATGTTCATGCCCCTCTAAAGTAACACTGAGCAGGTTCCTGCTCCTCTGTCCTACTGGTTTAAATTGGAATTACAACTGTCGTAAACAACCCTGCTGTAGCTAGCGCCAACAATGAGCTAACACTAACATATACCAACTAATACTAAAATTAAAAAACAAAGTAAAAAAAGATCTGCACTGTTGGGCAAACAACAATATTACTTACAAGTCCTGTAGCAACAAAGCCAGGTCACCAGTCTGTGATTGTGTAGCCTCTTTTAGCTTCCTCAAGCTAGTGTGGGCCACACCGATGTTTACTCTGGTTTTAGCTCTTTGCTTCGCCTTCAAAGACATTACTCGCTACTCCTACTTCCAGGCTCCGCCATGATGCCAACAGAAAGAGCAAACATCTACTTTTTCTTCTTCTTCTTGTGCTTTTTATTGACGATGGGCAAACTGAAAATGCTAACTGCTAGCATTACAGCTAACAGGCATAAATCAGTTTATGAGCGCCCCCTAGAGCACCTACCCGCTCCACAAAACTATCAAGTGTGGTTTCTGGCCAGCAGAGGGCTGCAGTGGTGTCAAATATGATACTGGTCAAGTTTCTAACTCAACAATCGCTGAGATCAATGTTAAAGCTCTAGCTTAAAGTTTAAAAAACACTCTTGTTGTTTCTTTCTGATGCTGTGCTACAGACCGGATGGTGGAGTCATGTGACTATGTGTTGTCATATGACTCCAACATCCAGTTTGTAACAAGAAAGGGAAGATGATGAGGTAATAGAGAAGCAGCCTATCTAGAGGACAAGTCTTTTTTTACACGTTGAGGTAGTTATCCTCTTTTTTTTGTTTTTGAGGTGAACTGCTCCATTTATCGTGATATTGATTTAAGGCCGTGTCACCCAGCCATACTAGATATCAATAACAAGTGTTCTTTTCTTACATTTAGTTTATAGTCTGTTCAGAATAAAGTACAGATCTGCAGCATTCCGTAAACTCAGTCAAAAAGAGGTATAGTTTTCATCATATTTTACTTTTGAGATCAAATATTACTTGTTATAGGCATTGTTGTACTTTGGCAGATTGGAAGATGTGAAACTAGCTAAAATCCTAAATTGTTCATGGAGATTTGTACTTTTCAGTGGTTAGTTAAATAGTCTTTTTAGCCTAAATTAGAACAAATCAGGGCATTGTGGGATTTTGAGCTCAGTCTTTATGTCCACACAGGCATCTGGGCCACAGACCACAGTACCTTCCTCTGGAGCACGGTTTTGATGAATGGTTTGGTTCTCCAAACTGCCACTTTGGGCCCTACAACAACAGCGTCAGACCCAACATCCCCGTATACAACAACTCTGAGATGCTTGGAAGGTAGCATCACACAAACTAAAAGTCTATTCTTACCATGACTCAGTTGTTTTGTTTTTCTGCTCTTCTGGGTGAGTTGAGTGCCCCCCCATCCCATTTCCTCCTCTGTACCAGATGGGCTTGTGTATTCCATTTTCCACCCATTTGTTTTCCTCACAACAGCCATATGTGTATTCAGGGTCATTGGAACTGGCAGTCGGGCGTGTTTTTCGCTTAGCCGTGGGTTTAATCAGCACTGCATACCTGGGCCCTGGACAGAAACACACAAACACGCACACACACACACACACACACACACACACACACACACACACACACACACACACACACACACACACACACACACACACACACACACACACAGACATATGCATGTTTACACATATACACACACACGCCCTCAGGAGACGGCGGGTTGTGTTGTCTGAGTGTGAGGACACCTGGATGAAGTGAAGCATAAGAAAAGGATTTCTGTCACTGCTTCTCGGCTCGCAGCGGCACGCTTCAGTAGCACCTCGTAACAGTTCCCGCTGCTCAGCTTCGCCGAGACTTCCCACATATGTCTCCCACCAAAATTTCCACTCAACAGGTGGAAAATAGATTTATCTCCATGATCTTATTGCTACTGAAGCTGCTAGAAAATGCGGATGATCCTAAATATTCATAACGCTTTTGAGGTAATAAGATCTATTCGGGCTGGATGTAGATTAAAGTTGAAGATGTAGAATACAGACAACCCCACTGATCTGAGAATAGATTAAGTAGTCAGATTTTTCTCTGAATTAAAAAAAAAAAAGTTAAAAGCAGGCACTAACATGCACAGATCGAAGTTAAATTTGCAGTGAGGTCTTATGTCAGCACAGCTCCAGTGACGGGGATGGTTGCATGTTTTTATTTCTGCACACTGATGGACTCTGAGTGCATCAGACTGAAATATTGTGCCAACGTCTAAAATAGTTGTCTAAGCAGTAGTAAAATGTGGGCAAGAAAGCCCAGTTGAATTTTAACACCTTATTATGAATAAGATTCCCAAGGACACGATTATTCCAAGCAGCAGAATACTTCTGCTTTCTGAACGTAAAAGAATGTGATTACAGAACTTATCAGGGCTTCAGCCTTGTCAGAGCTGAGAGCTGCATGAGTGGAGAGAGCAGTTTGACCTGACATCAGAATATAATCAGACACAGACTCCACATTACAGTTCTGTTAAAGACAAGTGACTCATATCATGTCTACTGGGAGATGTTAAAGAGGTCCTTCACTCACATTTTTGATACATTTGCAGTGGTCTCTTGTTGAAATGAATGTTCCAGCATGGAGAACTCAGCCAGAGGTGAAAGTAGCTTTATTTCCTGATATTTGGACACCTCGCCTCTGATTGGCTAACAGCAACACAACTCTTCCATTGACTGTTTGCTGCAACGTGGATGCTTGATCTCCACAAATAGCACAAGCCTGGAGGAGTTCTGCCGTGTGATGGGGTTGCTAATGCTAACAGTTGGCTCCTACTAGTCCAAACGTTCTCTGCTGTTTCTTGGACACTAAACTAGGGATGCAACGATACCACTATTTTCCAAACCGATACGATACCGATACTTGGATCGGAACACTCGCAGATACCGATTACCGATACTTCTACCACACAAAAAATGCAATGATTTGGAATACAGATTTTATTTTCTTCTCTGCTTTCAACAGGAAAAGACTGTGAGGTTGATAAAAAGTAAAATATATGAATAGAAATCATCACAAAACTAAAATATTAGGTGAACAGAAATGATAAGTTACAGTGAAGCCATTTTCAAACATCTGCATTGGTATCGGTTCCTGGTATCAGTTAACTTTTACCGATACCGATACCAGTATCGTATCGGTATCTGCGCCGATACGATACCAGTATCAGTATCGGTGCATCCCTACGCTAAACCAACAACAGCCTTCTCCGAGTCAAGATGGGTGAGTCCGTGAACGTTAAGTGACAGTGTGACGTAGATCTGCCAGGCTTTTCTAATCCTAGAGTTTCACAGTCTATTTTCTACCAGCAGGAGATAGTTGTAGGAGACTATTTTCATGTTCAGCCTGCATATTAAACTCGGAGTGATGGGTCATTTAAAAAAATATTAGGTAAAAATGGTTTCTCTGAAGAACCTCTTTAAGGCCTTCTTTCTTAGTTTTCATTATTAAATTTTAGCTTGAAGCATCATCCGTACACACGTTGGGTAACTGGGCCAATAAAACTAAAGGAGTGATGAGATTGTATATTCTATCTCGGTAAAATGATGCAGAAGAGGTAGACAGTTGTAAGTGTAAAGAATGGGTCGTTTACATCTTACTTATGAACCATAAAATGTGAGATTCCATAGAAATATGAAATATCAATCTGATGGATCTTTGAATATTTTAATCAGAAGATCAGAACTTTTTATTGCAGGGATTAAGTGACACTTCGTATTAACTCCAAGGAAAGAGAGAGAGTCAGGTTTAAAATAGTTAAGAAATTTATTTCTACACAATTTAAACAAGACTAATTTTAACACTCTGTATACTGATGGATCTAAGGCAGTGGTTCCCAACCTTTTTCCCAAGGGACCCCTTTTTTACCAGTAAAATTTTTGACGACCCCCTCCCATTCTCTCTTCCAGTATAAACAGTATTAAGAAATGATAAAATTGTTCAAGCACATTTTAATATGCTTTGATTTAATAGATTACAGTAATAGTAGGCTCAAGTACAGAACAAAGTCATTAACAAAACTAAACAGAGCATAATGTGCTTAACAGTTTGTATTACTTTTCTGAAAACATTGTTTCTTGTAAACACTGATAAATCAATCATTCCTTTCAATAAATGTTTGACACATAAAAAATACACTGAGCAAAATGTACTTAAATGTGTATATTACTGTTTATACTAGATTATTTACTGTAAACGCTGTGATTAATCAACCAGTCCTATCTTTAATGAACTTTTGACACTTAAAAATAAAACAGTGAGCTGAGCAAAATGTTCTTAAAAGTGTGTTACTCTTTCTGTACTAATTATTTCCTGTCTTAATATCAGTAAACTTTTCACTCATGAAAAAAAAGTGAGCACAATGTAGGCTATAAACAAGTAATAAATGAAGTTTTAACCCCTTAAAGTGGAGAGGTCCTGGCGACCCACTGAGAGGCTTTGGCGCCCCCTTGTGGGGGTCGGGACCCCCAGATTGGGAACCACTGATCTAAGGTAGTGTGAGAGGTGTTGAATGATGATGATGTGTGTGTGGAATGTTATTCAGAACCAGCAGATCCGGAGAAGCAGTTAGTTCTGAGTGGGAGTGAATGTTTGGCTCTAATCTTTAGTAGGACATTTATAACACACATGAAACGCCATCTGTCGGTCTACGTACCCAGGGGAAGCCTCCGTTAGATCCAGAATGCCGAGGTCCTCGTGGATCCTCTTTGGTACCAAAGCCGGTAGAAAAGCAGCGGTGCCGACCAAACTAGTCTTGGAATGCTTCCAGGTCACGACAGGTTATCACTGGCATCTCCGAGACCCTGAAGGGGTCGTGAGGTTCAGCTTTTATTCTGAAGGAACCGTTGCAGTCAGGTGTAACTTGCAACAGATTTTATCCAACTTGTCGAGGTTCTTTATGGCTTAAGAGGAAGTCCAGATGGTCTGTCCGAGACTTCTCTAGAATGCTTTAAACTAAAGAAAAGGTGGCGTGGAATAGTTTTTATAATTGTCATATTTTGGTTTACTGGAGAGTCAGAATTTGACATGCAAAAGAGGGTTTATACAAACACCAAAGAAAACCACGCCTTGCAATAAACGAAGGTTCTGATTGGGTCAGACAAAAGGAAATGTGTCGTGTGACTTTAGCATTACGTGTCATCAGTGTCTAGTGCAAATGTCCAAGATTATAATTGCTCGTAAAATACTACTGATCACAGGATTATAATATCAAGTATTAAACATTGTCATTTCACAGATTGATCGAACATTGGGCTCACATTATTATTGGCAATAACAAAGTTGTTGATTATGTATTCATCAAAATAGTTCTTCGACTTCGTCTTTACAGAGGTGAAGCAGTTCAGATGAGCAGAGTGCATGAAAGACCTTGGCCACTATCTCATGTAGATTAGGCTGTCAGAGACTTTGTCTCTGCTCGAGCAGACAAAGCAGATCATGACCTTTGGGTCAAAACAGGACATTCATGACGCTACATAAGCAAGCTACACACAATAAATGTCCTGTCAACATTTGTTTTCTAGATACTTTGAGGAATTTCAGATCAACGTAAAGACTGGCGAGTCAAACCTGACTCAGCTGTATTTGCAGGTAAGTGAAAGTCCTTATTAGAGGTCGACCAACATTGGTTTTTCTATTGCCGATACCGACGTGTAGGAGACATGGTCAGCTGATGGCCGATATGTACTGCCTGTTTTTATGGGCTGATTTTCAAAACAGATATCTAGATGTTTTTCACCTTATTTTCATGCTAAAGTTTCACTGATAACATCAATTTCTGAAGCTGAATCAGTTTTGAACTCTGAATTTAACTAACTGTTAAATCTGAACTTTGCGCACTGTTCGGTGTTAAAGTCAGACACCTTAATAAAGTTCATTTAGAGTATTTATTATGTAGATGTTATTAGTGAACGTAAAAATACATTTAAATTAAATTCTGCAGCATCACCCGAGGATGTGCCTGAGCCTAAATCGGCATTACTCTGGAGAAATATCTGCCCGATGTATAAAAAACTATATATATATCAGCATCAGGCTGATTAAAGAGATCAGATCATCCATTGCTTTTATCAAAGGACAGCATTCTTTCACGGTTTTCAACTCACCAAAACCATAAAAGCACAAACACAAATTGTCTGTATCAAATGACAAAAAATGTGGTTTTATTTATATGTTCAGCAGCTGAGGTGGATTGACATCAGCCTGTCTTATTATGTTCTTAACAGGATCAAAAGCTGCATGCTTGAGAGGTGTAATCTGTCTTCACGTTAGGAGGACGGGTCTGTCGAGCACAGCTTTTTAAAGCTCATATTAGTGCGTCTTTGGAGGCTCCGTTGGCTTGGGTCGAGTAATTTGTTTGGATTTTGATGCAAAAGAGAAGCTTTGGAAATGTATTTGTGCTTTTTGATATTTGTTTCCATCAGAAGTACACTGTAAAACTGTATTTGTATGCAACATTATGGATGCCAAATTTACTTAAACCTTTTAGATGAATTAAGATGCAGCTCAGCTCAGATGATGCTAATTTTCCACCTAAAAATATCAAATTAATTCTGTCTACAACAACCTGTAAGTAACTTTCACAATTTTTATATTCATGCTTTTGTATAAGAAATTATTTTAATTAGTTTGTTAAAGGTATAAATACAAATTTTAATTAAATGTCACGGGAAAAAATGTCATTTTGAGAACAGTGACTTGCCACTTGTTCACTTTCAGCCAAAGGAAACTTACTGAGTAAATGAAAGCTCTCTAAATTACAATTTGGTGACATAAAACATAAAGCAAAACAATTCAAATAATTAAGACTTTTTAATTTTAATGATAATAGAGCATCAACACTTTTAACAGTTTATTAGATTTTCTGACTGTTGACTGTGATTTTATCCAAACAACCATTAAAACAGAACTTTAGAGAGTATGTAGGACAAAAGTAAGAAACACCAAAATCATCTGTATGTGTGGTGCTGTAAGGATCTCTTCTACCTCCCAACTCTACAGGAGGGTCTGGACTTCATTCTTCGTCAGGCTGAAGCTAAGCAGCCCTTCTTCCTCTACTGGGCAGCTGACGCCACCCACGCCCACGTCTACGCCTCCAAACCCTTCCTGGGGAAGAGCCAGCGAGGCCTGTAGATACTTCCACTTCCACAGTCGTACACAAACTTAATTTTATCCTGTGAGTGGATTTATTTGTCAGGGTGAACTGTGATTGTGATTCCAGCTACGGCGACGCGGTGATGGAGTTGGACTACAGTGTGGGTCAGTTGTTGTCGCTTCTACAGAAACTGGGAATCGACAAAAACACCTTTGTCTTCTTTACGTCAGACAACGGAGCAGCTCTAATATCAGCCCCACATCAAGGTCCATTTTACCAATGTTAAAGGCACACTTGGCAGTTTTAGCTTGCTTTTAGCACCCCCCTATAGTGAAATTTATCTTCTTGCTGTCTGTCATTTTAACACCTTAATCTAACTGCTGAAATGTCTCCTCAGCCTTCCTTAATGTCTATAAGAGTGATTCATCATCAAAATAAAAATAAAAAATCAACTGTGTTTAGGATCTAAAACATGCAGGAAACATGCTGGAAGCAGACTGCAGCGCCAGGCATGTCAACTTAATGTTTTCTAAGTTCACAGGGGGCGGCCTGCCAGTCTGAAGTTGCAAGTGTGATTTTATGGCCACAGGGGCGGTTGGCTTTGCGGGCATTCTATGAGCAGAGAGGACGCAGCGGTAACGGCTCAAATACTCCAGCTGCGTCCTGCGCGCGGCCGTTGTTATATTCACAAAATCGCTCCACCAAAACAAAGTCATTTGTTTGCGATCGTTTACATCAGTCCATATTCTCTGGTACTTCAAGTGCTTTTCAGCCGGTGATTTCAACTCATTGCTGCTGGTTCGGTGGATCCCTTTGGCTGATTAGTTAGAAAGTAGGAAGTCTAGGAAACAGTTTTTTCTGGAAGACGGAGAAAACATGCAGCATGCAGGAAGGTTAGAGAGAGAAAGAGCAGGAAATTATTCAAATAAAATCAAGAAAACAAAACAAAGTGCTTGAAAAGAAAAAAATGTAGGTAGATTTATCCCCAATACACATTTTTACCAGTGAAAAGCAATAATATATAAGCATTTAATATTTATACTAGTGATAGAATCAGATCACCCCAGAAGTCAGTCCCACATCCAGGGCCGTATCAAGGCATTTGGGGACCAAGGCAAATATAGGCCTGGAGCCCCCACCACCTCACTCTCTGCTCAGATGGCCCTATAAGATGGCAGCATGCTGAGAGTACAGATTGTTTATTAAATAAAAGCAACAACAATCATTTTAAAGCACTGTTATTATATCTGACTGTTTTTATCAGCAATCCTAGCTCAGACACCACATCACCTTCCACATATATGTCATGAGCTCACTGAGCGTCACATGACCAGATTCATATTGAAGTTGTTTTGGTGAAAGTAACTTAAAGTAATGCAAAAGTAGTGTAATGCCTTACATTTTAAAATCAGTAATATTGTAATGTAATGAATTACTTTAAAATGAGGGTAACAAGTAATAAATAATGCATTACAGTTTTGAAGTAACTTGCCCAACACTGCTCCTAATACAGTTCTAACAAATCCCACGATATCCTCCAATTCATCAAGCGACATTGGCTAATCTTCGGCTCAAACAGACGTGCGTGCTTTTGTGGTTCTGAATCCTCAGGTGGCAGCAACGGGCCGTTCCTCTGTGGGAAGGAGACCACGTTTGAGGGCGGCATGAGGGAGCCCGCCATCGCCTGGTGGCCAGGACACATCAAGGAAGGCACGGTAAGCGCATCCACATTTTTTCAAATAAATCCCAAATAAAAAGTTCTTGACGTGTTTTATTTTTCCTAAGCTGAAATTTGGTTTCTAGAACTTTTTTCCTTCATCCTTTTTTGCTCTCTGATGTCCTGCATGTCAGATTTTAGCAGAAGCAGAAATGAGCTCTGCAAACTGCAGGGATTGAGAATCGAGTTGAAAGTAATTTCTTCACTAATCCTCCTCCTTCAAATGGTTGTTGTTTTATTGTTTTATTTGTGTATCGTTTACCATTTTGCACGCGCGCTCTGATCAACTGGCACAATTCACTCCAACCATAGGTTTATTACTGAACTCCAGAAACACTCAAAACAAGTGGTATTATGGTTGTAGCCACAAAGCACACGGCGGATTTTCCTTTCTGACTCCTCAAATATTTTTGGCTGGAATAAATGCCCCTACTCTCTTTTTTTCTAATTCCACCCATTCCCCAATATAACCCCCCCACCCACGCCGTGATCCCCTAAGCCTGCGCGTTCTGCAAATGACTTTTAATTGTATTAGAGGCAGCTGTGACACGGGGCTGTGGCGCAGAGGGATTTTGCGGAGGAGCGAGCGGAGGCTGCAGTCTGCGGTAAGCCTTGCCCCTGGCTCATCTCACAGGGTTGTGCTGGGGCCTGATAGCGCAGCAGAGTAGTGAGGGAGAGGGGGATTGGGAACGTCTTAAGCGGCTAATCTGTTTGTGTGTTTGCTGAGGTTGGATTGAGCCGTAATGAGGACTTCAGTATCTGAATATGCCAGGCGTTCAGGATAAAGAAACAGAAGGGGGGGGGGGGGGGGGGGGGGATTGCAGGGAAGGAAGCAAGGAAATAGCATAGAAAGGAGAGAAAAAAGAGTCGGGCTAAAGACACATTCTGCCACACTGCCAGGAATGACGTTGTGTTTGCAGGACTTTGATGCACCTGGACCTCGTTATGTTCAGAAACGCACAATTCTGCATGAAGGAAGGGAGGCTAGTGTAGTTTTTACTATCATTGCAGATCAGCACGAGTGTGGGATTTGAGGACATGATCTGTGACGACAAAGCTGCTTTGTTGGGGTGACTGTGCTCTACAGATCTAGGTTTATTGTTGTTGTGGGGCAGGACAAACAAAACACAAAGTTCCCTCCTCTTTTATTTTGTAGCCTTTTGGAATCTTTGTTGATCCGTGCTTTGAAAAGCTCCCAAAAGCAAAGCCAAATGTTGGAAGCACAAAACAACCAGCAAGGGCTTTGTGAAAAGGAGGATTTTCAACAGGTTCGTTTAGCCGAGGGTCGCAAAATTATTGTCTAGATGAGAAGTTTGGAGTTTGAGATCTGAAAGTTTGTGGTTCATTTAGACGCTTTTCTAGGAGGATGGAAGGAGGTGTGCCGGAATGATGGAGCAGATGCGGATTCAGCATTCTCCCAGTGCTGGAGGGAGGGCGGATGGTGAGGTGGGTGGCCTGTCAGGTCCACAACAGCACTGAGCCTCACAGTCCCGTCTGCTGGGTTATCGGTGGCAGACACACACGCAGACGATGGAACAGATGAGGATTGTAGCACCAAATCCTCAGATAACCAGCACAGCACCGAAAGGAGAAAGTATGACTTTTTTTTTAAATTTTAGAGTGATTCACAGAAACGGAAGAGGAAAAAAGGGTGAGGAAAGAAAAAACAAGTTCAGCCGACACCTGAGGAGGGAAGAGCTGATCCAGGGAGGCCATAAAAGATGGAAACTCATGAGCTAAAGTTCTCCGTCTCACCAGTCTGAGGTTGAAAAGTTTGAGTGTTCCTGCAAGTTATTACCGGCTAAATGTCAGCTCTGCTTCTCTTCCTGTCCTGTCTTCTTTAATAGTCTGTGTGTGTGTGTGTGTGTGTGTGTGTGTGTGTGTGAGATGGGGAGAGCCTGAAAAACATAAAAATGAAGTAAAGGACTGAATCTGTTAGTGTTTGTGCTTGTTAGAGAGAAAGAGTGTCTGGATGAGCAGATAGATCATAGAAGGCAATGCAGAGCTTTTTTCTGTGGATACAGAAGAAAAGGGTGAATTCATTTCAGCGCGCGCGTGTGTGTGTGTGTGTGTGTGTGTGTGTGTGTGTGTGTGTGTGTGTGTGTGTGTGTGTGTGTGTGTGTGTGTGTGTGTGTGTGTGTGTGTGTGTGTGTGTGTGTGTGTGTGTGTGTGTGTGTGTGTGTGTGTGTGTGTGTGTGTGTGTGTGTGTTGGCCGCCGATAGGAGCACAGCGGCTCATGGTGGTGCAGCTGCAGCGGCCTGATAGCTGATATCTGATTGTGAGCGTGCCGTCTCCCTCTAAGGCTCGCTCAGGAGAGAATGGAACGGAAGATCAAGGATGACAGGGAAAAAATGGCATTTTATCTGAAAATAGTTCAAAGTTTATAAATAAAATAAAGCTTTTCACAGCGACTGGGAGAAGGAGATAAAACAGCAGCTCGCTTCAGCTTCAGCGGACTGCTTGCCCGGGCCGTGTCCTATCCCCAATTCCTCTCTTCTTTTTTCCTCATCACCCTTTTTTTCTCCAAGAAAACTCATTTTTGGAGTTTTGATTGTGGTAAAGCTGCATGCAGAGATTGGAGAGGAGACTGGAGAAATCTCTGTTCATACAGATGCACATATGAGCATCATCTCATCCCTATGGATTCCATTTGATCACATTTGCTTCTTGATTTTCAAAGAGTTAAACCATCAAGTAGCAAATTTTAAAACCCACAAAGAACAGTGATTTGTGCTGTTTGAGGTTGTCATTTAAAAAAAATGTAGTTTGTCTAAAAACACCTTTTACTTATATTTTTCATTCATTTTCAGGTGAGTTTGCAAGTTGCTAACGTAATGGACCTGTTCACCACCAGCCTGGCACTAGCCGGCATCAGCGCTCCTGCTGACCGAATCCTGGATGGACTGGATCTCACGCCGGTGCTCTTAAACTCCTCAAAAGAACTTGAAAACAGGTGAGTTAAACCATCCTCTGTCATCTCCTGGGGGATTGTCAGTGTCCCACTGGCTGGCCGCACCTCACAAACCCTCAGAAGGGAGACACCCAGGAGGAATCCGTATTAGCCTGTTGCTCCTCCTCCTGTGGAGAAACAGCTCTGGTTGTGATCCTCAGGCAGGATGTAACGTTGTTGTTCACTCTAGGTTAGTTGAACACTTTACGATGAGTAATTAATGCACATGGGATGTGTGTGCTAATGTTCAAATTTGTAAAAATTAACAACTTTTAGAAGTATCAATAGTAATTCAATAGATGCTCATTGGTCCTTAAAAATCATTTGTTGTGACTTGGAAAGGATTACTGATTAAAATTATAGCTAAGGAGAGTTTTAATGGTTTTTCTCAACAAATGTTAAATGTATCATAGTGAAACGTTAAACATGCTTCACTTGGGATAACATGAGCTTTTGAGGCATTTTTCTCTAAAAGTTATAAATAAGAAATCTCTTACCTGTCAGAGATAGCTTCCTGAACAGCCTTTGTTCAAATAAACTGAGTTTAAGTCCTACAGGACTGATGGGCTAGCATTAACTCTTCTACACTTCTGCAGATAAAACAAAAGCAATGTTCAGAAATAAAATGTCATGAACTTTTGTTTTCTCTTTCACTGCGTTGAATCTTTCAGTGTAGATCATAACTATTCAATATTCATTCATTTCTTTATCAAAATTAACTATTTGTTACTGTTTAGGAAATATTAAAGGCATACTAAGCCGTTTTGGCTTGCTTTTAGCACCCCCTAGAGTTCGTTAGTAAAAACGAAAGTAAAACTTTTCTACTGGCTGTGCATTTGCCTTTTTAAGGCTGAAACGTCTCCTCAGCCTTCATTAGTGTCTGCAGGAGGGGTCCATCACTAAATTAAACCGATCAGCTGTGTTCATGATCTAAAACATGCAGGAAATGTGCTGGAAGCCGACTGCAACGCTAGCATGTCAGCTCCACTTTACTAAGTCCAACAGGGGGTGGTCCGAATACTCTGAAGCTGCAAGTGTGGTATTCTGGCTACAGAGGGCGGTGGGGTCTGGGTGACATTTCATTAACCCTCTAAAGGGTCATTTTAGCACATACTGGCTCAAGAAAACGATTAAAAAATATGATCAGCTGCAGCTGATGATTGATTTTTGTAGAAAATCCAATATGGTATTTGGGGTCATTTTTTGTATTGTTCATCAGTTTTGGACAAAAGCCGGAAGAAAACCATAAACAGGAAGTAAAACTGAAAAAAGCTTGTTTCTGTGTGAATGAATCAACATAATCTCTGACCTGCGCTTCTCCACCAGACCTGTATTTTACTACCGAGGGAACGAGCTGATGGCGGTGAGAATCGGTCAGTACAAGGCTCACTACTGGACCTGGATCAATTCGTGGGACGAGTTTAAAAGTGTAAGCCTCGTTTCTAATGACTGATCTCTATGTCCTGTCTCCTTACACCTCCACTTTGTACCCATTTGTCTTTCCTAATCTCACCGAAACACACAAATACTCGGGCTGCTGTTTGCTTTATCTTCACTCTGGCTCATCAATTGACTGCTGCGTATGTCTGAGTGAAATGAATATTAATGAGGAACCCCCAAGTGTGTGAACTTGCATCATTCATCAGCCAGCTGACTTGTTTGCTCAAACTCAGATGGAAACATTCTCTCCTCCATTTCCATATTGTCATCCTGCTGCCTGCTCTTGCAGGAGTCACAGGGCTGTGATTGTTGCCAGATCTCCTCAGCGTGGATTCAGCATATCAGGAAAACCGTGAAATCTGGGAATGTGATGCCCACTTGTTCAAAGAAACATGTCCTCCGTCCGTGGCCGTGCTCTTTCCTGGGTTCCAGTTTGTTTTATGGCCCATCGGTCGCTTAAATTGCTCTCTCCTTCAGGGCCGCTGAATCAATAGTAGCCTCCTTTATCAACTCATGTGAACTGAAGTGGAACTTCACAAATAATGGCGTCTGATTGCCTGTGAGTTGCCTATCGATTGCTATGTGTGTGTGTGAACACTGGAAAAAGAGACAGAAAGCAGAGGAGAAAAAATGCACAAAGACGTTTTGTTCTTCATACAGAAGTGTGTGTGTGTGTGTGTGTGTGTGTGTGTGTGTGTGTGTGTGTGTGTGTGTGTGTGTGTGTGTGTTTGTATTTTTGAGTGACTGCTGAAATTCTGCAAACTTAAATCTTTAGTTTGATTTTCATTTTATGGTTGATCTTTGGTGTGTGTGTGTGTGTGTGTGTGTGTGTGTGTGTGTGTGTGTGTGTGTGTGTGTGTGTGTGTGTGTGTGTGTGTGTGTGTGTGTGTGTGTGTGTGTGTGTGTGTGTTTCACTATATACTGTATTTCTTACACATGCATGTATTTTCTAAACTCTTTGTTCTAGGGCTGGGCGATATGGTTTAAAATCAATATCACAGTTTACTGAGGCGTTCACCTCGGTAACGATCAATGGACGATAACTACATGTATGCACCAAAACAAAAGTTGTCTACTAGATGGGGCTGTCACATTCATTACCTTGAGTCACGTTGTCATGTGACTTGAGGTGGTACAGCTGAACATGAATGTCTCCAACCCACACACCTTTCTATTTTTTATTACCAAATTTACTGACATGGGAAAAATAATATTAGATAGTCAGACATTTCTATAATGATCTTTTTTTTTAATTTACTGCCCAGCCCAACTTTGTTCTATTTGGTTTTGGTGAAATATTTTCCAGGTGGCCATCTTTTACCAGATAAATGTCCTGTGACTATTGGTATAATGGGGTCTGTTGGGTTTCCATCTGAAAATTCTATTTATAAACGGTTTTCTGCAGTCATTGACTCCTAGAGAATTTGGGACATCAAATCACTGAAAACTCCAATCTTATGCTTTTTTTTTTTTTTTGCACCATGAAGCTCAACAAGAATCGACTTTTAGAGCCTTTGTTCTCATAGAAACGTGAAACAGAAATATTAAAGTTGAGTTAAACGTTTAAAGTCCTGCAGAAGTAAAATCACTATTATATTCATAATATATTTATAAGATAAATCTTCCTGGAAACACTTGAGTTTTGCTTGCTTTTAGCACCCCCTAGTGTCCGTTATCAATTCTCTGTGGTCAAACCGAAAATGAAACCAATCCCCTCGCTGTGTGCTAGTTGTTTTAACACCTCATTCTAAAAGCTGAAATGTCTCCCAGCCTTCATTAGTGTCTACAAGAGTGATCCATCGCTAAATTAAACAAACCAGCTGTGTTCGTGATCTAAAACATGCGGGAAACGTGCTGGCACCAGACTGCAGTGCCAGGTAGGTCAGTCCAACAGGGGGCGGCCGGCCACACTGAAGTTTAAAAGGCGGTATTCTGGCCACAGAGGGCGGTGGGGGGACATTTTATTAACCATGTAAAGGGTCATTTTAGCACATACTGGCTCAAGAAAATGGTTAAAAAATATGAAAAAGTTGCATCGCCTCAAAGTTAAAGATGTGTGCCTGAAAATGAGATTGGAACAAGAGGTATGATGCTGTTTGAGGAATGTTCAAATTTTCTACTTTGTTTTTCTATTTTGCAAACCGAATTTCCACAATTCACCCAAGTGTCCTTTTTCTCCTTAATTCCCCCTCCAGCTCAGATGCTGCTGTATCTTATCTGGTCCCGACTGCTGTGGTTCAGTCTGAAAGTAGCCTCGCTGTATCTATAACACTAATGTCATGTGAGATAGGGAGTTCTGGCTGTAAAATCTCAGGCACAAGGGCCCGAGTCTGAGAGATACACACAGCTGCCTTTTCACGCTTCTCCTCTGAGATCAGCTCTTTTTTCCTTCTCTGCATTTCTAAGCTATTGGCTTCAAAAAGATACTGGACAAGTGTGGATCAGTGGAAATTCTGCTGGATGGAGTGTGCATCCTGAGGTGCTCCAATGAGTGATCTCAGAGGGGGGCAGAGCTGCAGTACCTTACAGATGAATGCCTTTTCAATATTAGTTGTGCTCATCAAAAAGTGTGTGTGTGTGTGTGTGTGTGTGTGTGTGTGTGTGTGTGTGTGTGTGTGTGTGTGTGTGTGTGTGTGTGTGTGTGTGTGTGTGTGTGTGTGTGTGTGTTCAGGCAAGGGGCAGCTCACCAGGGGTGTTCTGGTGGATAGAGTGTGACTCAATCAGGCTGCGATTACTGGCAGCCTCCTGAGAGAAAAAAGTCAGACGAGCAAAGAGATGAAGAAGAAGAAGCAGCAAAACTCCTATTTTTGAGTGGCTCTATGAATAATACAATAGATTGGAAGACAATATTTCAAAGAAACCACATAAAGAGGAATCGGCTCGGAGTTGTATGTTGATGGAAGCAGATGTCTCAACATGCAGATCCTAACAGAACTAAAGGAAACATCAAAAACAAACATAAACTCCTGGAAATTTCTACATTGAGTCAATTCTTTTGTGTTTATTTATTTTGTTGCACTGAGAGTAAAAACAAATCTGCTTCTCTCTTGTCTGCAGGACTGACCTGGAATTTTGTGTTAGGTTGCTGTTTGGAGACGGGCTGACCTTCGTTTAAATTTATGAGACTTTCGTAGCCAAAAGGGGGCAGTTCTGCTCCTTCCTGTCGGAGGATTTTTTTTATAGCAGAACACTCACAGGAGGTGGTGACCTGGAACTTCCACAGGTTTCCGGATGACTAATAATCAGTGTTTAAAAAGCTGCATTGGGCTTGTAAAATGAAAGAACGTACAGCATCTTCTGATCTGACTCAAGTCATTTTGGCATATTGCTATTGTGCAAAATACTTTCATGAAAATGTATGCACAATTTGTTCAGTGCAATCGGACTTATGAAACTAAGCAGTTCTGGCTTGCTTTTAGCACCCTCTGGAGTCTGTTTTAACCAACTGTTGTAAAACCCAAAGTGAAGCTATCCTCCTCACTGTGTGTTTCTCACTTTAACACGTTAATCTAACAGCGGAAACGTCTCCTCAGCCTTCATTAGTGTCTGCAGGAGTGATTCATCACCAGGTCAAACAAACCAGCTCTGTTCGTGATCTAAAACATGCAGGAAACGTGCTGGAAGCAGACTGCAGTGCTAGGATGTCAGCTCTACTCAACGACTGACTAACGGAGCTGTCGGGATACTCTAAAGTTGCAAGTGTGACATTCTGGCCACAAGGAATGGGGTCTTGAGTGACATTTCATTAACACTGTAAAGGTTCATTTTAGCACATACATAATTATTTAAAAATATTAAAAAAAAGTATGTTTTTAACTGCTTTTAACACTGAGCAGTTTCCTGCTGCAGCCTGCTGTAGCTAGCGCTAACAACAAGCCAACGCTAACATGCTCCAACTAATACTAAAATAAACCACAAAGTAAAAAGATCCACACTGTTGGACAAAAATATTATTGCTTACAATTCCAGTAGCAACAATGCCAGGTCACCATCAGGCTGTGATTTTTTAGCCTCTTTTAGCTCCCTCAAGCTAATGTAGCCTATGTTCACCTAGAGTTTAGCTCTTTGCTTCGCCATCAAAGACATTACTATTACTTTTACTTGCAGGCTTCACCACGATGTTAACAGAAAAAGCTATCTTATTTTTCAACTTCTTCTTGCGCTTTTTATTGACTATCGCCAAACTGAACAAGCTAACCACTAGCATTACAGCTAACAGTTGCAAAGCAGGTAAAGAGTGCTCTAGAACACCTACCCCCTCCACAAAGCTGTTAAGTGTTTCTGGCCAGCAGAGGGCTGCAGAGTGGTGTCACATATGACATTGGTCAAGTTTCTAACCCAACAATCACTGAGATAAAAGTTAAAGCTCTAGCTTAAAGTAAAAAAAAAAAGTGTAGTTACTTTAAAGCCCTCCCATTCTCACACCTCCACCTGTCTGGATTTGCAGCCTCAGCTAAGCTTTCTCTTAGTCTTCTCTCTCTATTTTTTATTTTTTTTTGTAGGGTGTAAATTTCTGTCCGGGTGAAGAGGTCCCGGGTGTGACGACTCACGATCAGACAGAACACTCTCTACAGCCACTCGTTTTCCACCTGGGGCGGGACCCTGGAGAGAAGTACCCACTCAGGTAAGTTGCTTTGAAAGTCAAGAAATAAACTCATCACCTGTAGAAGGGCCACTTCATAAAGGAAGACAGGGTGTGCGGAAAAGCCAAGGAAAAGAGATGAAAAGAGTGAGAACAGAAAGTGTTTTTTTTTTCTTGTTTTGTTTGCTGGTTGTGGAGAATGTGTGTGAGATCAATGCGGATTCAGTGGCATGAAAAAGGAGGCGGCGGATTGATCCACTCAGCCAGAGCACGCGTGATTACACCCTCCTCTTTGTGATTGCAAACAGCTTCTTAAAGATCGCTATCTGGCCATCAAGCCTCCTCCAGCGGACTGCTCGCAGGTTAAAATTGCAAGATAATTTGTTCGGGTCTAAATTGAGAGCGAGTGCTGTTTAATGTGTTTTTGTGTGTCTCTGTTTTGGCTGCAAGGAGAGTTAAGAACTGCTGAGACGCCAGAGGAGACACACACACAACTACAAAGACACCATTACTAAATACGGGTGCAAAGGCAGATGAGCATCTTTTACTGCAGAGTCTCACTATTAACACAAAATAAGGACACATCCTGACACCATGACTAATACATTAAGATAATCCCAGAATGCTTTGATAGAAAATTCTTTTCATGCTTTCTGGCTCCCTCCTGGCATTCAACCTCCTACACTGACCTTTCTTTTCTGCCTCTCTCCTGCTTTTCTGTGGCCTCATCTCCTTCTTTGCCACCAGCTGAAAACTCCTTTCAGCTCTGGAGTGAGATTGGATGATAAAACATTAATTCTGTTTTTCATTTAGCACATCTTTTTAGCCTTGTTATTCACCCAGAGGAATAAAAAAAGCAAGAGCCAAGCAATATGCAGCCATGTGTTGTGTTGTTCAGTCACACACACACACACACACGTCTCCTCTGTCACTTTTGATGTCTGTTCAGTGTTATCATTTATTTCCTGTTTCTGCAACTTTTATCCAACTTTCCTGGATTACATCTTCTCTCAGCTGATGTCCCTTCTGCATCCACTGGGACTCTGTCCCCCTCCCTCCCTGTTTAAGCCTCAGTGTGTGTGTGTGTGTGTGTGTGTGTGTGTGTGTGTGTGTGTGTGTGTGTGTGTGTGTGTGTGTGTGTGTGTGTGTGTGTGTGGGTTTTGTCCGTGTGCTCTTAGGTCCCCCAGCTGGACTGTTTGCCTGGCTATCATTAATCTCTGTCACCACCTAAAGAGCCACTTAAGATGATGTAGGACCTGTCTGCACGCATACCTTCACTACTGTCGCAGGCTGCGATACAGCAAAGAACACACACACACACACACACACACACACACACACACACACACACACACACACACACACTATCCCCAGTTCAGCGAACCTAAAAAACAAAAAAAAAATGTTTTTAACGATGCAATCTGGAATATTGTAGTAAAGCATGCTTTTTAAGACTCTTTTATCATTTAACATTGGTGGAGTTCAGCACAAAGGTTTGCTGCATATGTTTGGCGAGATTAACACATCCCACTTTCACACCACCCACTCACACACACACACACTCCATGGCACAGTCGCACGGCCCTGACACCGCAGGCAGCCCTGCACAGTCTGGCCTCATCTGCTGCCTGCCACCAAGCTGTGTGCGTCGCCAATCAATAGTCCTCGCTGAAGTGCTCAATTTCCACCGAGGTGGAGAAGACGGCGGAGTGGAGGGGTGGGGTGGGGTGGGCAGGACAGATGTATCTGATTGTCTCCTCAATTCCCCCACCTTCTGGCACTGTGTGGTTGTTTGGAAATGTGCGTGCGTGCACGTGTGTGTGTGTGTGCGTGCATGCGCGTGCGTGTGTGTGTGTGTTATGAATCGGTAATCAGAGCGGTGACACACCTGAGCAATGCCCCCCATCCCCCTTGGGTGCCATACATTATAAATCAAAAGACTGCATTTGCATAGAGGCTGCTTATTATTCCAGATTCTGCCTCTACACAAGCAAGCTAAGGGTTATAATCATGATAATGAGCCGTGCTGACTGTGAGCTTTTCATTAGTTTTGTGCGGGGGGGTCAAGAAGGGGAGGTGGTAAAAAACAAATGATATTATTAGTTTTTGATTTACAGGACTGCACTGAGAGTTTTGCTGCTCTTAGACTAAACAAAAAACAACTTTGTTTAGTTCAACTTGCAGGCTGCCTCACACTTACTTCTGTGCAGCATCTTCATCATCAAACTCATCGCTGCAACAGTTAGGAGGGACCAAAATACAGTAAGCCTCATGCTGATCAGGATCTGGCCAGAGCTGAGTTTGTGATTTCTCGATAGATGGAGCAAATCTGAAAGTCTGATTTCTGTTTTGTTTCCTCCCCTATCGGCATGGACCAGAATGCAGTGTGACAAATGTGGCGCGCGGGCAGGGAGACTAATTGCTGCCAGAGCGCAACCTGCTAAGTAATTGTAAGCAGAGTAAAGAGTGAGTTTGAGGGGAAAAGAGGAGCAGGTGCTCGCTGATGGAGGAAGCCTTGCTGCCCTGTGGGATATCTAAGAGGGAGGGTAGGTGTGAGCTGGACAGGGCCTGGGGTTATTACTCTAATTGACACTTCACCTCACACACATGCACATGTTCCCCAGGGGCCAATCAGAGGACTGGCTCTGCAGCGGAGGGATGGATGGAAGGCTGGCACAGGTGCTGCAGGCGAATGTATCAGGGGTGTAATTGCAATGCTGATATTTGTCTATCCCCGTGTCACGCCACCAGACGTCCCCCCCACAACACACACACATACACACACACAGCCCATTAACCCTACAGGTCCTATTGAGAGCAGCGTTCCTTTGAAAGCCTTCAGGGCCCCTGTGTTTTACACTCTGAATATAATAATGCACAGAGGTGCTCGGCTCGCTGGCGTCCAACAGCAGTAATTGAGAGACAGGGGATGTGATGGGGGTTACATGGTTCACCCCACTGAGTGTGGTCAGACTAGTGTGTGTGTGTGTGTGTGTGTGTGTGTGTGTGTGTGTGCGTGCGTGTGTGAATTAATGTTTCAGTTCTTTGATTAGACTGCATGTCCCCTTGTTGATACAATCAGTTAAACCTGATTTTGGTGTGTGTGTGTGTGTGTGTGTGTGTGTGTGTGTGTGTGTGTGTGTGTGTGTGTGTGTGTGTGTGTTATTCATAGGAAACAGGTTAAAACGATTAAGCTGAAGCGACGAACGACTAAATTGGTCTAGTCTTTATATTTAGTTTTGAGCTGGCGATGGCCGTATTAAAGTGACGTGTGCAAAAGTCTTGAGTCACCCTCCTTCCTGACAGTGAGACTTTTAAAACCTCCAGTCTTCAAAACATGGAAGAGTTTTGTAATAATAAGCAGCAGCAGCTCAGCAGATAGAGCAGGTTGTCCAGTCATCGTAGGGTTGCAGGATCGATAACGGCTCCCGGCTCTGCAGTTGTGTCTTTGGGCAAAACACTTCACCCTCCCTGCCTGCTGGTGGTGGTCAGAAGAGCCGGTGGCGCCTCGCCTCTGTCGGTGCACCCCAGGCCCAGGGCAGATGTGGCAACATTGTAGCTCATCACCACCAGCGTGTGCACGTGTGTGTGTGAATGATTCACTGCAGTGTAAAGCTCTTTGGAGTGCTCTGACTCTAAACACATGCAGGTCATTTATCATAACTAAAGTATAATAAAGACATACACACATGTAATGATGCTCTTTAGTTCTTATACTGCCGATTTTTAATATTAAGATGTATTTTATTCATAGTACAACAGCCTGCAGACCAGTCTATAAAAATAATGCATAAAAAATATTTTAAGGAAGATTTTCTTCATGCCTCAGGAGCTGGTCCTGTGGTTTGGGATCAATAGTTCTTCAGGCTACCTGTCATTATGTTTTGTTTGCTTTCTTAAGCCGTTTAACTCTGCCTTATAAAATATTCAGTCAAAAAGGGGCTTTTAGACAAGAGGACGTGTAAAACGGTTTCCACTGATCTTCCTGTAGGTGTTCAACTGAAGGGTGAAGCTTCTCTCAGCTCCTGTTTCAGGTCTATGATGATGTTTTTCTTTCTTTTCTCCTAAAGGCAAAACTTTCAGGTACTGTTGATCTGCTGTAGGTATTCTTAGACCTGATATTTTATGATCTGATGCAGCTACATGAACACAAAAAGCTGGCAAAGTCTAAATGAATATGTTAAAATACTTTAAAAAGCTTGGTCTGCTGAAATTATTCATAGCTTAAGACAAAAATAAAATGAGAATCTAATTTAGTTAGAAAAAGTAGTGCCGTGTGGGCACTGGTTTTGTGTTTTTGCCGGGTTAGTAATCTTTACATTATTTACTTCTGTTGGGACACGGAGCACGAGGGTGTGCTGCTATATGTTTGACATAGTAAGCACAAAAAAGTAGGAGGTAATCGAAGAACATTTAAAAGATGCTTGTTGATTGTGTTTCCAGTGTTTTGTCTGATGAGTACCAGAAGGTTCTGGTCGGGTTCTCCACTGCTGTGCAGCAGCACAAGAAGGATCTGGTGCCTGGAGTTCCCCAGCTTAACATGTGTGACCTGGCTGTCATGGTGAGATCCACATTAATCAGACAAATATTTTATGTACTTCAGCTGCATTTGTGATTTTACCAACTGGACCGTTTTATCAGAGCAGCGAATCACCAGGAGACACTTCTGTGGGTTTTAATCGACTTTACAGACATCAGTATATTTGAGAAGAGGCAAAAATAACTGATTTTGATTGTTGGATTACATTTTAAATAAAGGAATAAATGGTGAGCGTTGATGACTTATCAGAAAGAATTAAAGCTGGTCTTTAAATGGAGAAACAATAATGTATTTATTTACTGAGCAAACTGGATTCATAAACTTTATTTGTTTGTTTTTTTTTTGGGGGGGGGGGGGTTGCATCAATTTTCTAAAAAATAAATCAATAAAATAAAAATACAGTCATTTAAAGTTGCTGATGAGGTGCGTGTCACTTCTGCTGGAGCCAGCCACAGATCTAATTTATGGCACAACACTGCCCCCTTGTGGATACTCAATAAGCAGCCTTCTGGAGGGTTAAAACAATCATCAGCGTTCAGCTCGTCCTGTTTTATTGTTTTATTTTATATGAAGGTCTTTTTTAACGTTGGGTAAGCTATTTTATGTATATTTATTACATTTCTACAGATGAAATGTAACATTTTAAAATGTTTTTCTTTTGCAGCCCAGATAAATATTGAATTTTGCTTCGTTTAAACATTTATGTGTTTTCAATAACAAAATAATGTAAAAAATACGCTGTAAGTGTTGATATAGCATGTAAAGTTCATAAGAAGGCAGATGGGAGTACTTTAAAATAAAATTAGGAAGCAGTTCTGAGGTAGTTAGTCTAAAATGCATTCAAATTTCAATTAACAAGAGACAAAGGATGACACTTTGATCACAACCAGACAAATTAAATAAATGGAAGTCATTTAATTAGATGACTGTTGGTTTGTTTGCAGAACTGGGCCCCTGCAGGCTGTGAGAAGTTAGGAAAGTGTCTGAAACCGCCCGAGTCTAATCCTTGGAAGTGCGACTGGCCCCACTGAGAACACACTCTGAACCAGAGGAAACACAAACTTGATGATGGACCTCACAGCGGAGCTTATAATGGAGAAGTGCCTCAAAAACATCTATTTTTATACTGCTTCAAATAAAAGCACTTTTAAATAAATGATGGGAAACATGTACTGTGTTCATTTTTTTAAACCTGTGTCTTTACAAGTTTAGAATAATTCATCATGATTTCGTACTGTAATGGTCTAGGCAAGCATTGACTTTTGGAAGGGGACAGGGGTACATGTCCCCTCCCCCAAACTACGTCCATGGAGGCAAGGCAGCTTTATTGGTATGGCACGTTTCACACACAGAGGCAATTCAAAGTGTTCTGTTAACGAGGATGGCACAAACATTAAAGTAACGTGACCGCTCAGTTTAAGTACACAAATAAATTTAGATCAAATTAAGAATCAGAAAAAAGAGTAAGTTAAAGTGTGAGCAGTTACAGTGCAGAAGGTGCAGCATAAGATACATTCATTCAAAGAATGATGAATGCATGAACGTTTTTAATTTGGATTAAAAGTTTCTAGAGTTTGGGGCATATTTGAACTCATGAGGAAACTGATTCCATCTGTGAGCAGCATAGTAGCTAAAAGCAGCTTCACCCTGTTTGGTTCTGACCCGAGGTTCTACCAGCGGACCGCTTCGTAAGGATCTCAGGGCCCTGCTGGGCGTTTATACAGGACGGAGATCCAACATGTATTCTGGCCCCCTGAGATTGAGTGATTTATAAACTAGTAGAAGCACTTTGAATTTGAATCTGTAGTTTACTGGTAACCAGTGTGGAGATTTAAGAACAGGAGTGATGTGCTCGGTTCTCTTGGTTCTTGTTCAGACTCTAGCAGCAGCATTCTGAATAAGCTGTAGTTGCTTCACAGCATTTTGGGAAGACCAGACAAAAGACCACTGCAATAGTCCAGCCTGCTGGAGATGAATGCATGAACAAGTTTCTCTAGGTCTAGTCTAAGGCAAAAGGGGGGCATTTGTTTAAGATGGTATTAATTTAAAGTAACAAAATCAAGGGTTGAAGTTCAAAACTGAAATAATGTCACTAATTAAAGGTTCATGTTGATTTGTTTTCCTCTTATTAAATTAAATCTTCATTTGAAAACCACATTTTATATTTACTTGGGTTAGGGATGTAAAAAATGTAAATGTCATGAATAAAAAACAGAGGAACTATAATATTTTTCACGGCTCTGTTCTTGATTTGACGATGCTAAAAGTTAACGTAAAGAGGAAGCTGCTTCTTCCCGTTAATGTGGCCATCGGTGGCTGAAGCTGGAAGCTTCTTTGAGCGAAACCAAGGAAGGTTCATCTGGTGATTTGATATCAAAGTGCTTGAAACCAAAATAAAATACACAATTAAAAATGATTAAATTAAGAGTTTTTGTAAACCCTGTGCACAAAGAGGGTGACCTCTAACACGCATCACTGTTTCGTGTTCTCAAATAAACAAAAACTATCAATTGAAATAACAACCCTTACAAATTATTATCCCTGTGCAGATGTTTCTGGTTAATGAGTCCTGCTTCTGGAGCTTGCTGTATTTACTTTTGAGGTTTGCATAAACTACATTTTAAAAACAAAGTCGCTGCTGGTTTGAATATATTTTTCAGTCATTTCCTCTTCTGCTCAGAGGAAATTGCATGTTACAGGAAACACCCAGAATAAGAGTTATTTCTGCAACTGAATTTTACACCATCAGGTCAGAGAGCAGCAGCAAGACCATGGATGTGGACGCGTCTTTTCTCAAATCCAGGAGGGGAATCGTAAAAGTGGCAGAGATGGTGAGAGAGGAATGAACTTTGTTGCAGATGTAACTCAGACAGATCTGGGCTGCGCGGTGACATGAGATAGAGGAAGAGAAACTACATGTGGCAGTGAGCTGACATCACATGTTTATGTAAATATGGCGTGGTGTTGCAACTCTTTGCATGCATAAACTGAAATGTGCAGCATGTTGCATGAAGAAAGGCATGAGCAGCTTCTGCTGGAGGTTTCGTGGATCTTCATGCACACTTGACTGTGTTTTTTTCTCCTACAGGGAACTCTTTTTGTTGCATTTGTGTGTTTCGCTGTGGCGTCTGCTCCAAAGTACATTGCAGCCACACTGTTGGAGTTACTGATCACGTTACTTTTGCTGCTTCTGTACGTTCTGAAGCTCAACAAGAAGGTGGCGTTTTTCTTTTGGCCTCTCGTTGTGAGTGTTGTGGATATTTAGTAAATGAGCACATGAACAGTACAACTTAAAATTCTAAGCGTTTGTCAGGCTTATGTCTTTGTCTCTTTTTTCTTTAGGATGCTTTAAATTCAGTCTTTGCAGCGGTCTACCTTACCATCCTGAGCCTGATTGCTCTGACCTCATCTAACATCCCAGTCACACTGGCTGGAGGGGTGAGACGTGTTTGATTCCTCTTCCACATTTTCAGCAGTTGTCCCGATCCTGTCCTCAGTTAGTTACCACCATCCTGCGTGTTTTAAATGCTTTTCAATGGAGGATTTACATTTTCAACAGGTCAAGTTCTAAACACTCAGGTGTGTTTGATCAGATAAGCACCAGAGGTGGTGGCCCTTGAGGGCCAGGATGAGACACAACGCTGCTGTTTTAACTTTATGTGCACATAGAATCCCACGAATATGCGTTAAGGTGCATAATAATCCTGTAAACGTGCATGTTTTATTCTGCTTGTGTTGCAGGTTTTGTGTCTCCTATCAGTAGCACTGCTCTGTGCAGAAAGCTACACACTCTTCAAGATCATCACATTCAACAAACCAAGAAGTGAAACTGAAACACAAAATCAAGTTCACCAATAAATAAATACAGGAACTGGATTAAAGCTGCATGAAGTCTAATCAAAAACGTGTACTTTATTTTTTGAGGCTGTTTTGCTGTTTTTCAGACTCTTTTCTGTGGAGCCTGTTGGTGTTTAACTGATCAGTCAGAATTAAGATGCTTTTAGACTTGTGTCACCTTTCCTCGGAGGTAGTCGGGTTTGTATCGGGGGCTGTGCAGCTGCGGGGATTCCATTTCACATCTGGATTCAGCCTTTTTGGAGTTGGGTTTCCGCGCTGTCATTGTTTCCGTCTCCACCTCCCCGAAGCCACACGCCTCCACACAGCTCTTTTTTTCTCTTCTCTTTTACTTCGCCTTGAGTCCGCTGCTTCAGCCTGCTTGGAGCTATCAGGAGTTTAGAGAAGGGAGCGGATCTTTCGCACGATGGGGGACATCGAGGCTCCTGCCTCGACCGGGTCGCGCCAGTCCGTCCTTCTCTCCGTTCTTCCGAGCAAAGAGTTCGCCACCTCCAGGAAAGGAATGCTGCTGATTTCTGAAGTGGTAAGAAAAAGAGATGAAAATGATCATGGCAGTGAATAAAAATGCACATCACAACTATTACGCGCGAGTGGCCAGAGCTAGCCACGTTTTTGCGCACATGTACGCAGTTTAAACGTTAGAAATGCTGTTTTAACTCACATTCATGCACATTTATAGCTGATTATAACAGTTTTTATAATGTTTTATCAGTAAACTGAGAGAAAACCTTAATGATCCAACACCTGAAATTGATACACACGCTCCAGCAAGGACGTAATTTTCACTTTAGAAGTGGAGGGGACACGGGGGTGGGGGTGGGTAGGGTGGGGGGTGGGGGGGATGCGTTGCATCTCCACAGTATGTTCCAATGAGAAACAGGCTTCAACACAAACAGTTGTTTTCTGCTTGGTCCTAGAGCTCCAGCAGTGTCAATTTAATATAGTGTAATATTGTTTTTGGATGGTAAAAAGTGCAGGGGTCAAAACTTGACTTTGGAAAAAGTGTGTGTGTGTGTAGGGGGGGGGGGGATGTCCCCCGTGCCCCCCACCCCCCCAAAAAAATTACGTCCATACACTCCAGACTTGCAGGCCAAAGCGCAGATATGGAATTGACCCAAATCAGGAACTGATCAGTGTTTTGTAGGGTGGGGGGAGTTGGGTGTGGCATGGGGGGGGGGGGGGGGGGGGGGTCCTCAGCATCATGAGTTAAGGTGGGAGTGCTGTGTGAATTGTGTCATGTGGCCTTCAGCTGTAGTTCGGCCACAACATGTAGTTCCTCTCAGCCACATCCTTCACAGAACTTTTCAGTATCTTGCAAAAAATTGATAAAAAGTTTACTTTTTTGTTTGAGAACACGAAACAGTGATGCATGCTAGAGGTCACCCTCTTTGTGTTTGCTGAGTTGTTGCACTTTTATCACCTCGGTGCCACAGAAAGCCCGCAGCCGCCTCACAGACCATTTTACATGAAGCCAAAGAGAAAACAGACCTCGGTTCTGCCATTTTTGTGAGTTTTAGTCAGACTAGCATCCTGCTGAGCACACACAAGTGTGTTAGGCTTCCATGCATTCTTCATCAGGACTCCTGGCCTCCAACAGAGCTGATAAGGAAGGCAAAGTCACAACATAAACAAATCAAATGTTGTAAAACTATTATTATTTTAGGTCTTGTGTTTCAGCTTCATGCAGCAGAGTCAGCTCTAACCCCATAAAACAGAGACAAGACGGTCGAGATTACAGTATCTGGACTTCCTTTTCTGGGAGGCTTCAAAGACCCATCAGGCGCAACCTACTGAGCTCATGAAGCCCCTCTCCGTCATTATTCCATCTCTCTTTGTTGCCGGCTGTTTGCACAAGTCACGTGTGTTTGTATGGGAGGAGAGAAATAAGAGGGTCTTTGAGGATAAACACTGACTTCAGCTGCTGTATCTCCCTACAGGAAATGGGCATGGAGCTGCAGCGTTGCACTTCTGAGGCAGAGCTCTCAGGGGGGCAGATCTGATGAGTTCCTGACTGAAACCAGACACGTTTAAGACGCGTTCCATTCAGACCATCATTTCAGCCACTTCTTCCCCTTTAACTGTCTTTCAGGCTCTCTCCTTCATAGCGTTTGTGTGTTTTGCGGGCTCAGCAGCAGCAGCCTTCGTCACCGTCCCCCTGCTGGGGTTCCTGGCTGCTGTCTTCGTGTTGTTTGCTTACTCCACAAAATTCAACGAGCGGTTCAAAGGCTTCGGCTGGCCTCTGACGGTGGGAACGCTTTTAAATCTCAGTATTAAAGCTGGCTTTTGTACACAATCATTAAAGAATAAAATAATTAGATTATGACTCTGAACTTTTCTCTTAAAGGATTTCATAAGGTGTGTGACAGCCTCCATTATTTATTTCATCATCTCCATAATGGCTGTTTCTAAATATGGAGATGGGTCCTCTAAAGCAGCCGGGGTAAATACTGACCTTTAACCTCTCACGTCAGCATTAGAGACATTTGTGATGTCAGCTGCATCTAACCACCTTTCTCTGGTCTGCAGGTGTTTGGGTTTATCGCCACCATTGTTTTTGCTTTAGATTTTTATCTCATCTTTAATGAGCTGATTGGTTTCCTAAAGCAGGGAGGGGAGACCAATGAGGAGCCTTCAAGACGGCGAGGTAACAAAAAAGCCAAAGCATCACATCAGTTTTTTATGTACTGCAAGTTAATCAATTTTATGCGTTAAATCAGAATAAACATGTTGAAACTGATGAGTAATTCAGATCTTAGTTTTTCACGGTAACGTGAAAGGCAGTGGGGCATTATGCATTACTTTGAGAAATGTTAGACCTTTTTTTTTCTTCAGAATCAAATTCTGTCTTGGCTCCATAACAAACAGCACACAGTTTGGAAGCAAACATTTTTAAAATGTGAATCGGGTGGCAGACCAAGGCGGGAGGCTTGGTGGTCCGATCCCCGGACAAGAAAACTGGTTTTTGGGACATGGAACGTCACCTCGCTGGCGGGGAAGGAGCAGGAGCTTGTGGCAGAGGTTGAGCGGTACTGGCTAGATATGGTCGGACTCACCTCGACACATAGCATTGGCTCTGGAACCCAAGTCCTTGAGAGGGGTTGCTCCGGGTGAGAGGCGGGGAGCTGGGGTTGGCTATTTGCTAGCCCCAAGACTCTCTGCCTGTGTGTTGGGGTTTACCCGGGGGACGAGAGGGTAACTTCCCTGCACCTTCGGGTCGGGGAACGGGTCCTGACTGTTGTTTGTGCTTATGGGCCAAATATCAGTTCAGAGTACCCACCCTTTTTGGAGTCCCTGGAACGAGTACTAGATAGTGCTCCATCAGGAGACTCCATTGTCCTGCTGGGGGACTTCAATGCTCATGTGGGCAATGACAGCATGACCTGGAGGGGTGTGACTGGGAGGAATGGCCCGCCTGATCTGAACTCAAGTGGTGTTTCGTTATTGGACTTCTGTGCAAGCCGCAGTTTGGCCATAACGAACACCCTGTTCGAACATAAGGATGCCCATCGGTATGAGGATCAGCACCTCCAAATCTGAGACCATGGTTCTTGACCAGAAAAGGGTGGCTTGCCAACTCCAGGTCGGGGGAGAGGTCCTACCTCAAGTGGAGGAGTTTAAGTATCTCAGGGACTTGTTCACGAGTGAGGGTAGGAGGGATCGGGAGATCGACAGGCGGATTGGTTCGGCATCTGCAGTGATGCGGACGCTGAGCCGATCTGTCGTGGTGAAGAGGGAGCTGAGCCAGAAAGCCAGGCTCTCGATTTACCGGTCGATCTACGTCCCAATCCTCACCTATGGTCATGAGCTTTGGGTAATGACCGAAAGAGCGAGATTGCGGATACAAGCGGCCGAAATGAGTTTCCTCCGTAGGGTGGCCGGGCTCAGCCTTAGAGATAGGGTGAGGAGCTTGGACATTTGGGAGGGACTCGGAGTAGAACCGCTGCTCCTCCGGATCGAAAGGAGCTAGTTGAGGTGGTTTGGGCATCTGGCCAGGATGCCTCCTGGACGCCTCCCCGGGGAGGTGTTTTGGGCATATCCTGCCGGCAGGAGGCCCCCGGGTCGACCCAGGACACGTTGGAGAGGTTACATCTCCAATCTGGTCCGAGAACGCCTTGGGGTCCTGCCGGAGGAACTGGTGGACAAGGCCGGGGAGAGGACAGTCTGGAGCTCCCTAGTTGGGATGCTGCCCTCGCGACCCGGACCCGGATAAGCTGAGGAAGACGATGACGACAACATTTTAAAAAGTATAAACCAGTTTGACTGACTTCTAAAATGCCTGTTCTCCATATTATAAAGCTCTGCATCTGGTACAAAGATGGACTCCTGCAATTATCTAGACTCCAGATAATTGGATCTCTTGGGTTTTACCAATTTATTACAAGAATACACTTTATTCAGTTGATTGTAAAAGTTGTTTGATGGTGAAAAATGGTTAATGTGACAAGTAATGCAGAGAAAAGGGCAGAAACAGGTGTCCTAGTCTAAAGATCCAGTCAGGTGAAGCATTAATCGGGTTAAGTTCATAAAACACAGGAGCAGGCTCAGGAAAACGAACACTAGAGCGGACATAATTTACCAGAGTGATACAGGTGAGGTGTTATAGGAGATTGGATGATTAGGTGACAAGAGCTAAACTTATTTAGGATTAATGTAAATGATTTAGAGAAAACATACAGGAAATAACGTTTTGTAACTTTTGTTTTTAGATGAGTTTTCAGACTCAGACTCGGACTGAACTGAAACTCACCAGCAGCTGTTTCACCTGAACCAGATGTGGCCACTTCTAAAAAGAAATCTCAACAGGATCGCCTGTGCTGTGGGTCACTTCCACCGTTTAACCTGCAGCTGTGAAACTAAAGAAATGTGTATGAACAGGAGACCTGACCTCATGCTGATGTTTCTAACTGTTGCATTTAGTATACAAGAGCACTGTAAACCAGGGGTGACCCCTGATAATCCCCCTACCCTACCCTGCATGGTTTGGTCGGTTCCCTGCTTCAATGGTTAAATCATCTGGTCAGCAGCTCATGAAACTCTGCAGAAGCCTGCTGACTAAAATCTGGTGTTAAAGCAGGGAAATGACTAAAACACGTTGGGTGCTCTAAGAGAGCCTCTCAGTGGCTGTTGATGTGATAAACCCACAAATTCCACCTGCAGCATTGCAGACAGTTAGCCCCGTCACTAATTTCTGCTGTAAATGACTGTAACCCTTTAGCATTCCAGCATCCTGCCCATGGGACCAAACCTCGTTGTGTTCATTAAACCTGGCTATTTAAGGGCTTAAAGGCCTACTATGCAACTTTTAAAATCATTCATTGAATCAGTATGTGCTACTGTATAATGACCCTTTACTGGGTTTATGAAAAGTCACTCAGCCCCCACCACCCCCTGTGGCTGGAATACCACACTTGCAATTTCAGAGTAGACAGCCAGCTCCCTGTTAGTCTTAGCAGAGTGGAGCTGACTTGCCTGGCGATACAGTCTGTTTCAAGCATGATTACTGCATGTTTTAGATCATGAACACAGCAGATTGGTTTCATTTAGTGATGAAACACTTCTGTAGACACTAATGAAGGCTGAGGGGACGTTTCAGCTGTAAGGTTAAGGTTAAAAGGACAAACGCACAGCAAGGAGATGAGTTTCACTTTTGGTGTTACAACAGTGAATTAATAACGGACTCTAGTGGGTGATAAAAGCAAGCCAAAACTGTATAGTTTCCCACTGAAATATATGCAATATTTAACTCTAATTTCCCTCTGGGGTTAATAACGTTAACCACCATTAAAGTTTTTTTTTGGAAGACAACATTTATCCTCATAGGAAATGGCACTGTGACTAGTAGTTAGCTTATCAATTCGGTCAGAATTAAACCCCATTTCCCCAAACTGAGCTTGTTCAAAGAGCTAACCATAACAGAAGGAAGGACTATCCATATAAAAGATTTATTTGACCCAAATAATTAAAAAACTTCATCTTTTTTACTGGTTTTCACCAATCATCCTTCTTTGCTGTGCACATATTCCTTAAAAACATTGCTCTTTTAAAAACACCACTTTACATTTTAAATGTGAAATTCTTTGTTTTTATACGTCATTTTATTGGAAATAAATAAAATTTAGAAACAATACTTTCATAATGTGTCTTTATTTGTTTTTCTCTATAAACGGATGTGAAGAAGTTCTGAATATTTTAAATAAAAAAGCTAACCAGCTCAATGCTGTACAGCACAGATCCTGGTGTGATCATTACCAAAACACACAGACTCAGGATATAAAAGGTGCACAAAACCAGAAAATAACAGAAATGAATCCATTTCTTCTCAGAGACTCTAGAATATTACTGCAACATAAGGTTGTACAAAGCACTGCAACTTTTACAAATACACAGTGTAGTCACTTCATATACCTAAAAAAACTTAAAGCAGTTGTATGATTTTGTTGCTGAGGATTGTTTTATAACATCAGTGAAAATGAGTTTATTAATGAAAGCTGCAAACATGATTGTCTCATACACGTTTCATCCAGAAAACTAAGAATAAACAAATCCAGGTTACTTTTAAACACAAAAATGCCCGCTTTTATACATTTTATGCTATTTATTAATTATTTGTAGTAATTTTCTCAGCACATTCCTGGCCCTGTGTTTTTAAATAAATACAACAAATAACAGCTGTAGTAAAAAAAAAAAAAGTATAAAGGGGTTAAATAAAGACCAGGAGATGGCGCTCAAGAGTCGGTTTAGAAAACGCACTGAACCCTTGAGTAGATTCATTTTATTACATAACATTTATTGACCTTCATTCTCTAATGCACTATAGCACAGGTGGAACGTTCAGCTGCAGCGTTCAGGTTGAGGCATCCGGTGATTTTGTTTCAGATGTTTTCTGACTAACAAACAGGAAACAAGGTGTCGGTACCTGAGAAATGTGTTATAGGCACTGGGCTACAGTTTAAAGTCATTTTCAGTCAACATGTGCAAAAAGACCACGACACTGACTTCTAGCTCGTGGTTATTTTGAAATGATGCACGTGTGAGTGTACTGTAATCAAAAGTTTTAAACCTCGAACAAGGCAATCTACAGGGAGAAAAAAGTCTAAAAAAATATGTGCATGTAACTAGATTTGTGTGTGTGTGCAACAAAATGTGTGCATGTGTAACTAGATTTGTGTGTGTGTGCAACAAAATGTGTGCATGTGTAACTAGATTTGTGTGTGTGTGCAACAAAATGTGTGCATGTGTAACTAGATTTGTGTGTGTGTGTGTGCAACAAAATGTGTGCATGTGTAACTAGATTTGTGTGTGTGTGCAACAAAATGTGTGCATGTGTAACTAGATTTGTGTGTGTGTGCAACAAAATGTGTGCATGTGTAACTAGATTTGTGTGTGTGTGCAACAAAATGTGTGCATGTGTAACTAGATTTGTGTGTGTGTGCAACAAAATGTGTGCATGTGTAACTAGATTTGTGTGTGTGTACAACAAAATGTGTGCATGTGTAACTAGATTTGTGTGTGTGTGAAACAAAATGTGTGCATGTGTAACTAGATTTGTGTGTGTGTGCAACAAAATGTGTGCATGTGTAACTAGATTTGTGTGTGTGTGTGTGCAACAAAATGTGTGCATGTGTAACTAGATTTGTGTGTGTGTGCAACAAAATGTGTGCATGTGTAACTAGATTTGTGTGTGTGTGCAACAAAATGTGTGCATGTGTAACTAGATTTGTGTGTGTGTGCAACAAAATGTGTGCATGTGTAACTAGATTTGTGTGTGTGTGTGCAACAAAATGTGTGCATGTGTAACTAGATTTGTGTGTGTGTGTGCAACAAAATGTGTGCATGTGTAACTAGATTTGTGTGTGTGTGTGCAACAAAATGTGTGCATGTGTAACTAGATTTGTGTGTGTGTGTGCAACAAAACGTGTGCATGTGTAACTAGATTTGTGTGTGTGTAACATGAGTTGTGACAACTTGTGAGTGACTAAAGATCTGTGTGTGATATCATAGATCTAGCTACACACACAGATCTAGAAACACACACAAATCTTGTTACACACGCACAGATCTCTTGAGACTTGTCTCTCCTCTATACTGATCTCATTTTTTTACAGCAAAAATCTACAGAGCTGGATCGTTTGTGCAAAGGTTGAAAGAAATAAACTGGGGTTAAATATTATGATTTCTATCCTGTTTTGCTACTTTTATCAAATGATATAGATGTTTTTCCCCCACTCATCAGAACTCTGACCTTATTTGTTATTTATGGTAAAGAGTTAAATGATATTTGTAAGGTTTGCCTAACAATATAAGAAACTTCCACCTTGGCATCTAAAGTAATTAGGAGAAGCCGTTTTATGGATAAAAACTTTCACAGACCGAGCGACGAAACAAAAGAAAATTAAAATACTCAATATTCATACACACAAAAACATAAACGTTTTAGATAAGACTAGAATCAGCTGGAATCACATCAGCCTTTTTTTTTTTTTTGCAGCTCTTCGTTAAAGTTGTCCATCACACTACGTCCACCTGCGAGTGTTTAGCCTTGATGATTGGTCTAGAAAAGCCCACAGAGTTCATCTTCAGCTATGAAAGGGATAATCATGTAGTAGCTGTAGAATCCCAAAGCCCAACACCGCCTAACGGGTGCAGTTGTGTCGGTCTCGGTCAGCTGTCGGTGTGAAAACCTTCAGTTAGTGTTTCTCGTTATGCTCCAGCTTTCACGCAAGCTCGGGTCGTGCCTCCATTTCTCCACGAGAGGCCGTGCGTGCTCGGATGTACTCGCTGGTCTGAGCCACCCCCTGACACCCGTTGCCACGGCGCCACCTCCGTACAGCCAGGAAGGTGTTTAAACTGTACACACCTGTCACCAGGAAGCCGAAGATCTGCACAGCCGGAAACGGAAAGCACAGTAACTGAATTAGAGCAGGAAATAGAAAAGAACAGGTGTGCACAGGTAAAAAGGGAGGTTAGTCGTCATCGGAAAAAATATATATAAACAAAAGCACACCAACCAATAGAAAAGGAGGTTCTGATGACTCACCACTGCTGCTATTTCAGCCCCTGTGTTGTGATTGATGCAGGCCAGCACCAGAGATGACAGGAAGAAGAAAAAGGTGCTGGCAGCTGTGTTTACCAGGTCCTGCAGGGAGACACACGACAGAAAAACACCCACAAGCATCAGTAATGATTTACTGGGTTGGTTGAACTATATCTGGAGTCATTTTAGATTTTCTAAACTTAAACCCACTATAAGTAACAGAAAACCCATAAAGTGGGTAACTGATTAATTTAAACTGGATCCACTAAATAATAAGAATGTTGTCCAGTTCCCAACACCAGGCAGGGCTAAATCTGGGTCAGGACTCCCTTAAACAGTCAGGGTCTTAAGATCATCTCCAGAAAAATAATTAAATACAAACAACAATAATAATTTGTAATACAACAATATCAGCATAACTGATGCAAAAGCTAAAAGTATCTTATTGTGTTTCACCCCCCATTTTTATGAATGTATGCTTGAAGCAACAAATAGTTTTGGTGTGTGTTACTTTGCTGTTTCTTTCCAAACTAGTATAACCTAATAGAGTGATTTCATTTATTTAATGCTAAGTCAACTAGAAAACAGAATACTAGTTATAGTGTATGTAAACAGCCAACAAACAACAATTATGATTGGTGCACACACTGACAATAGGAGACAAATCAACAATAGACCTCATTCGGTTAACAGCTAAAAAAATGTTGTGTTTAAAAGAATAAATAAACAACAGTGTCTGATCTGCTGTCTTTTGCATCGATGCAAAATTTAAGTGTCTGTCTTATTTATTTTGATGGCAGTTTCATGTTTGTTGCTTTATTTTCGTGAGCCGATTAGATGCTGCTTCCCTTCCAGCCTTTTCAGCAGACCTGCCCTCCTCCCTCTGCAGCAGCAGTGAACAAACGCACCTTTCTGCTCCCTGACCTGCAAATGAGGGATAGAGAACTGATCTCTGCCTATTTGTTTACAAAACACAGCGGCTTGACGTTCAGGCACCTCTAAAAAAAACAACTTAAAATAATAAATAAAATTCTACCCATTTTGTTTTTAGCTATCTCTTTGTTGTTTTTCGGGCGGTGTTAACTCATGGTACACTGTTGATCACCTGCTGCTGGTGAGAGGACTTTTCCTGTAAGTGTGGAAGGAACAGCTGAGCTGCAGCCAATGAGCTTTTGTTAGAAACACGTTCTCTGTCCAGACTGTAGTGACCTGTCATTTAGAATTTTATAATTAATATTAGGTGAATGCACTAAACCCACAGGTGATGGAAAATAAGATTAAATAAGCCTGAATATTTTCTCCCACAGCTTAGTTTCTATATAAACACCAACAATAAATAAACAACAGCAACTGGATGTATCTGCATACCCCTCCGATAATAGGTAGTTGTGCGGCTTGTGCCCCTGACAAACACACACACACACACACACACACACACACACACACACACACACACACACACACACACACTTTATTTTGTTTAACTTTGTGTGGGAAAACAATGCCAAGAACATTAGAAAAAAATCAGTTTGATCATAAAGTAAAATAAAAAAGCTGTGTCTTGTTCTAGTAGTTCATATTTCCTACTGCATGAGTTCAGTTGTGTTCATTCATGCACTTAAATATTCAATTCAATTCAAGTTTATTTATAAAACGCCGAATTACAACAATATTCATGGTCAGAGTATATTGAAAAAGGTGTTCTGTACCAGTTCCTTTACTATTGTGATCAAAAACATTGAATCTCAATTCCGAGGCTGCTCTGTAAATAGTTATAAAGCAACTTCTGAAAATAATGTACCGATGTAAGCCACACCTACTTCATGTTTAGGTACCGCCCACTCCGAGCACAGATACAGATAGTGGTATACTCACTCATCCCCATTTGTAACCATTAAACCAGTTAAACCCAGTCTACTGCGATTGTCTCCAATGATCTTTTACCTGATTTTTCATAAAGAGTAGTCCAAAAGTTAGTTAAAATCATATCTGTTGCAACATTAGTTAAAAAATACACCATAAACCACAGAAGGTACTATTTAAAATGGCATTTGACTGATTTTTAGGGGATAAACAATTGCAAAAACATGTTTTGGGACCTTCTGACCCTCTTTAAAGCTGCAGGATTTCACCCTTTTATGCAGCCAAACTGCATCCTGGTGCTTCATTCCAGGATATAAATACAGGACAAAGAAACAAGAACAGCACACACTCCAAAGTCACCAAGCATCTCATATTAGACACACACACACCCACACACCCCTATGACAAACATGCTCCCTCCCCCACATCTTCAGTCATGAGACAGCACAAATGAAAGCTATTCTTTGTTTTCGTCCCTGTTTCTCTCTCTCTCTCTCTCTCTCTCTCTCTCTCTTTCCACGGTTCCGTTTAGAAAGGGTTAACAGTGACCGGGTTGGCATGACTGAGACTCGTGATCAGATGCATGATTGTAGCCATTACAGACACGGCCTCTCATATGACCCCCACACACACAATGGCGACGTCACTAACAGTGACCCGACACACAGTTGCACACTAGAGCATGCAGCTGAAACACACAAGTCTGATAATGTTCCAACGATCTGCTGTTTAATCAGTAATCACCATGCTGCCATGTGCAAACTTGCATAGCTGTTGAGTAGCAAAGTAATAACGGTGACCTTTGACCGGCTTCATTATACATGGCTAACACACTAAGGTAGGTCAGAATGCACATAAACACCATCCATCCATCGTTCTGGTTCAGCTGGTCCAACAGGAAGTATGGCCTCCTATGTGCTCATGATCTAATCACATATGGAGCAAAGATTTAGCACCGAATCTGATCATTTCTGACACACACACACACACACACACACACACACACACACACACACACACACACACACACACACACACACACACACACACACACACACACACACACTTTTATATATAAACACACCCAGTCATTTGACCTATTAAATAACACAAACACACACCAACCAAAGTACAGGATTAATAAATGCCTCTCCTCCTCTGTTGAAAGTCACATCAGTTATTAAGAGAATGTTTGAGGATCTTTGGAGTTTGTTTTTGGCTTCAAAATTTAAGGTAGAATTTAAAAAGCTGAGACTGTTATGTAACAATAACGGGTTAGACGTGGTTTCATAAAAACTGTATAAATCTGTCGAGCATTTAGAAAGAAAAGAGGCTTTTACAATAACTTGTTCTTTATGGAACTGGTCAGTAAACCTTGACATTACACTCATGTAAACATTCAGTCTTTCTTTGTGAAATCAGCCTTATAAAACATTTTATATTACAGCTGGCCAGGGAGTGTGTGTGTGTGTTTTCTGTAGTACTTGTTAGCTCCATGTCACCGTGCTCGCGTTGGAAATATTCACCAAAGTGTAACTATGGAAACCCCAAAGGCAGCAGCAGCAGAGCTCTGATTATGAAATCTATTCTCCTGACAGAAGGAAGCCACACGAGACCAGAGAGTCTCATTTAGGAATAAAATAACGGCTTTCAAATCAAAGCTGGAGGAAACCTGAGCTTGTTTTATGTCTGTTGGCTGCTTAGGTGGTCGACATCAGCTGTCCAAAACCAAGGACGACCTTACTGGGTTCCACATCTGTTCAAAGTAAATAAAACATCTGGACTAATGATAAAATAACATGGTGTTAATCAGAAATTTAACTCTCACCTGTGTGTGTATTTAATGGATTAAACATTGGGTCATGAGAAAGATTTGCTAAATAAACATCTAAATGTGTAAACAATGGTCATTTAAACATTATAATAAAATATTTCTGGGTTAAAAGAGATTGGTAGTTTCAGTTCACACACTAAATATAAATGTGTGGTGTTAAAATGAAACATTTGACATTTTCAATCAGAATAATCTATTTTTGGTCAATATGCACAATATAGCTTAAGTGAATGTTTACATGGTTTATCAGTGACGATTAAAAAACTTTAGAATTTTTATTCTACAATTATAGTAACACTATGTAGTTATTTAAACATCAAGCTCTTTACCTGCTTTACAGCTGGTATGCTAGCAGTTAGCTTTTTCAGTTCATCGATTGTCAATAAAAAGCACAAAAGGAAGAAAGAAAAGAAGGCTGCTTTTTCTGTTGGTATCATGGCGGAGCCTGGCAGTAAAAGTCAGAGAGTAATATCTTTGGAGGCGAAGCTAATAGCTAAAACCAGACAGAACATCGACACGGCCTACGCTAGTCTGAGGGAGCTAAAGGAACAAAATCACAGACAGATGGTGACCTGGCTTTGTTGCTACTGGACTTGTAAGTAATAATATTTGTTGTCCATCAGTGTGGGTTTTATTTGAGTAATAGTTGGCTCATGTTAGCTTTTTGTTATCTCTGGCTACAGCTGGGTTGTTTATGGCAGTTGTAATTCCACTTTCAACCAGTAGGGTGTAGGAGCAGCAAGGTGCTCTGTATTACTTTAAAATCATCATCAATTAATGTAGAATCTTTTTCTCTAAACTGAGGTCCCTCAGGAAGCTGCCTACAATAAATCAGATGGTTCTAGTTAAAGCCACACAAAAACACACTTTTAAATAATTGAAGTATCCTTGCTGTAACTCCCCTCACGTTTAATTACCAAGTAACTGTAATCAGTGGGACTCTGATCAACGTCACCATAAATGGTGAATTGGAGCAAAATGTTGATACAAGTAAAATTAAATAAATCTGTTCTTTTAAGATCGTCATACAAATGAATCCATAGAGAACTTCTGTAGGTTTCAGTAGAGTAGGCAGAAAGGTTGTTTAATACTCTGAAATGTGCACTAATAGTGAAATTCCCAGGGGCCCATGTGAGCAGAGCAGCTTTGAACTATGTAGACACCCACAGCATGAGGCTGAGCCAACGCCAAGCATCATGGGCTTAATGGCTGCTACAGGAGGAGAGCAGAAGTCGCGGAACACAGAAAGTAAAGTCTTTATCTGCATCAAAGGCAAGCTACACCAGAACCTGTCTGATATTTGTTTTTACAAAAAAGTTAAGATCTGAATAACAAATGAAATTTTCAAGAAAGTGAACAAACCTGATCATCAAAATCAATTAACTCCCCAAGACCACAGATGGAG